ACTGTATAACTCTGCTAGAGTGCCTTTACAGTTTCACAGTGCATGTATAGATTAAATGCATATACTGTAGAAAGAATGATGAAACATGAGAGCTTTAATACTTTGTAGAATACATTTTTTTGCACATATGAAAGGACAGTGAAAACAACAGTTTACTTGGCCTTTTTGTAGAGTGTATAATACTTATTCAGGTATAAGTATACCTGATATTTTGTGAAGAATGATTCTGTGTGTAAATATAGAATAATATTATATAATAGGAATAAGACTTAATATGAAATAAGATATTCTGGAATCATGGCTCATAAAATTGTGATACCACTTTATTCATGTTCATCAAATGATCTGGACATCAAATCTCTGAAATGTTTAGCATAAATCTAATATTTAGGTTTCAGTTTGTTCTGTTTACCGATTACATTTGGTCAAATATAGGCAATGGTGATTAAGGTTGTACGCAATTTAAGGGTGCTATAAGCTAATTTTTTCATCAAAATGTTTTTTTTGTACTGGTGAAATTTAATTATGTGTATATCAAATAGTTTAATATTCAGTATTTTTCTTTTGTTGGTAAATTAAAATGAAATGGGAAAACTCGCTTTCCTTTATTGCAGCCATTTGTATTTTTCAGCCTGAGATTGCAGCAGATTAGTGACTCTAGAGAGATGCTTTAGTATTTCCATTTTGGTACATAGTGCATTCATAAATGTCCCAAACTGGGGAGCTATTAATCCGTTGTGGAAAACCTCAAAATTCTTATGGATATACAGTACTGTGCTTGCTATAGCAATGCACAAGTTATTTTCAGTTGACGGAAGGATGTTTTCACATTTTTTAGGCCTTTTTGTAGAACAAATCACCCTTTTAGTATGTGGCAGTTCAACATATCTTGCATAAGCATGTAGTACATTGGTTCTCATATTCTTGTCCTGTTTTTCAGCATTAAGTTAAAAATACACAGAGCGCTTGTTTTGAGTTTCTATGAGCATGCCTTTAGAAACAAGTTTTTTTTCATTTTAGTTCTTAAATCATTTTTATTAATATAATTCAAGTACGTGGCTGCGTCAGCATGCGCTGGTTGCAGAGGAACACGTAAAGGATTATTCCATACTGAATATTCAGCATGGAGTATACCTTTACTTGTTTCCTTTTATTTATGTGGTATTCTTTGACTTCAGACTGTTTTTCTATGAAGACACACTAAATAATAACATGCGTGTCTAACTTCGTACTGCTGTATGTTACACATTGTTCACGGTTAAAATGACACGTCTGTTTTTAAGAAATGGTCATAACACCCATTCCCTTTTTGCTTTGGAAAAAAACTCAAAATCATTAGTCACTTGCTGCCTCAACAGAATAGTGTTTGCAAATTTTTTTGGGTTTGTGCTGTGTAATGGAAATGTAATGTTTTGTTGTAAATTCTGCAGGTAATTCTGAGAACTGTTAAAAAAAAATCCCTTCTGACAAAAGGAGAGAGGACTATTTGTTAAAAGCCTGGAACAGCAAACCTGTCTCCCTGTCAGTTATCTTTGAGCTTCATTCAGCTGTCTACAAAGGCTTTTTAGTCTGTGCCTTAGGAAAGTCCATGACCAATGGACTAAAATGCAATCCTAGGCGTTCTACGTAACAAAAAGCCTCGAATAGCTCTGGAAAGGCCTGAAAGCTTTGAGGTTGTTCAGCATGACACAGAATGTCTTTCGAGAGCTTTCTCTTTAGCATTACTTCTGGCCAGTCACAGACACTGTAGATGTCCTAGACCCTGAATTACACGGGTTTTAAGGTTTAATGTTTAAAATGTGTGCCAGCACAGTGCAATGTGTTCTTGAGGTTTAACAGAGAATTTGAGATTTAAGTGCATGTGTACACCACAGTATAGATTCTTTTACTTATCATATTAACCTTTGAGTCTCATAAGTACAATGCGCACATAGCCAGTGTGCCGTGATATTGCACAAGAGGAGCATATATTTCCCATGGAATTGCATGTCCCATTACAAATATGTCTTGTAGATGGGTCATTAAGACTTACTTATACTTTAATTTACCAATGCTCAGTAAAAAAATTCTTATACCATCTTCAGCATGAAATCGGCCATTGTTCAGCAACTTGAATACTGTAAAATGACATTTTTCTGGTGTGCTGCAAGTCATACAGGATCTGTAGAAAATTCAATGAAAAATAAGTATGCTTGTGGCATACAGCTTCTTGCTTTTATTATTAATTTCCCATCAAGAATGTTTACTGCTTGGATGTGGCGATTTAGACCAAGTGTTTTTATAAGAGAGACTGTCTTGTTTTCCTTGTTATGGTTTTTTGTTTTCCTTTAAAACTTTAAAGAATAAAAGTATGGCTTGATTCATTGTCGCAGTGTCTAATGAGGTTTAGCTTGCAAGTGTGGCTGGGATGTTGCTGGTTTAGGTCATGTCCTCTTCTCTACCATTAAGAAGATGTAGAACTGGAGAGCACCAATGCATTTTTTCCAGTACAGTGCTGTTTTATTCTTAATATTGCATTTCTGTAAAATCACTTTTGTCTCTTGCAATAGAGCATTTTACATTTATGATAACCTTTATACCCTTTTTTGTTTTACAAAAACACATTCCTCTGAACAGACCAGGCATATTTTAGAAATATCCTTGCATATTATTTTGTTAGTTGAGCCAATGCAAGAAGGAAATTGGCAAAAGAAAAAAAGAAGCAGAAGTAGGGAGATGGAAGTTTGCTTGCAGTTCAATCTGATCTTTTATGCAGATGACATTTATCAAAACTCAGCATCGAAAACCTACTGGGCATCTGTTAAGCCATCCTCACTGAGATCAGACAGCAAGGTTGTATGGTTAAAAATGGTAACATCTGGGAATCCTACTGAGCTGGAAGCAACAAACTGCTGCTATAGTCCATTTCTTGTGCATTTACTGTAAAAATACTAAATATGGTGTAGGACACTCCTGTACTTTAACTGTTGAGGTGGTAGATTTTGCTTTGATGAATATTAAATGCAGTGTTTTAGGATGTTTTTCAGGTTTTCCAAGAGGTTAATTGGTTTGACTGTATTCCGAATTGATGCTTGTTTTGATTAAAAGCCTGAAGAAACAACAGTGCAAAGTCCTGTTGAAATCCACTGGAGCCAAAGCTTGCTCTAATAGAGTTAGATATTTAACTGAAGTGGAGTTCATGGAGTGTAGCACTGATTATACATTGCATCTTGCTAATGTCACAATCCATTTTCTAAACTGGGTGTCTGATAAAAGGCCATAGTGTACAAAGAGCTTGAGATTTTATCAACCTGTGCTTCTCAATAGGGATGTTCTTAAAGGTGCATTAGGGCACTAATATATTATGTATTTTACATGGGTTATATAGTTATCTGGCAAGAATGACCATATATAATGGGCACATTAAAGTAAAATAGTAAAGTACTAAATAAGAACATAAAGGGCTACTTAATATATAGGACTTAATAAAGTGAGTTCAAATTATGACTACAGCAGTGTTAGTATTTTTATGAGAATGGTTTACAACTGTTATAGAAACAACATTAATACATTTGCATGCATACATGCATAAATGCCAGTTCATTACATATTATGAGGCCTGTATTGTCATGACATTCTGATTGAATGTGTTGCTGTTGGGTAAAATTAATCCATGTTGGTACTGCTGATATCTTGTATTAACCATTTTACGTGACTGACAATGTAATAGTGAATTATCTTTACTGATCAGACGTTTACATAAAACAGCATTACTTTAAAGGACTGTTGGTCTTGCAAGTTATAATGCGTAACTATGGTCCTCTAGCTATTACCAGGAGCATTGAAAGATTTCCATAGGAAAACTATAAAGCATTGTATATGGATTTATTTCATGACTGCTTTTGTTGGATCTAAATATTAATAAAACTGATACTGTATCTCAGAAGGTTATATTCCCATTCTTCTGCCTTAATGCATTAGTTTAAGTAAAGCAGACCAGCTTCTTGTCTTCCAAGAGCTGATCCATACAGTTCAGTAGACTTGTGGAATACAGTACAGTATGCATAATAGATTCATGGTAGTGCTGCATTATTTATAAGGTGTGCTTCTGAGGAGTGCTGTAAAAGCTCCCTTAAAGACTACAGTATACTGTTAGCAGTTTTAATGAATGCTGCTCTTCAGAAAAGGCTCTTTTGCAGAGTTACTATATTTAGCCTAACATTAATTAAAAGCAATTTCTTTCCGTGACAAGATTTTCATATTATTTACAATTTCTTTTTCATATCTACTTGAAGTGTGTGTTGGGTTTTTATACAGTGACGTCTGTGAGTTTAGAGATGACTGCAGCAGAGCATGTAAGGCAATAGAGATAATGGCTGTCCTGTAGTCAGCAAATTTCAACATTGATGCAATTACAGCAGGGTGACTGCAGTGATGTATTGACAGAGGTACCCCTTTACCACCTTTGGAACCCTGAACTGATTATGACTTTTTTTTTCCCCCCACAGCAGCAAGTTTTGATGTAAACCATTTTTTGGTATCCCAGGGCTCAACAATTCCAAATCTGTATTTTAGCTTTAGTATTTCCTAGGCTAGTTTAGAACAGGGTCTCAGAGTCAAATCCTGGTGTCTTCTGATTTTTACTCCACATTGAGTAGTCAGTTATACAGTTACCCGGATTACTTTCATAGTTACACATGTGTAAGGTCTTTTACAACTGCTTATGCAAAATTTTAATTTAAAGAATGTTACCCATCAGTGACTTCAGAGTGTGTTTAGAAATCTTACAGTTATGAAGTTCAATACTTAGACCAACTATATTGCAGAGTTCAGATAGAACAAAAACTAAAAGACTCAATTAAGCATTCCAGGAACTGAGTTCAAGATCCCAGATTTATAATTTAAAAACAGCATACTAAACATAGTGCAGAGATTACATAGTCCATATTTTCAGGAATACCGTGCACGTATAGAAATGTGTTTGCTGAACATCTGTTTCCTGTTCTTCCTTGTTCTTACAGGATAGAAAACTCTCAAAGGTAGAGAGGCAGAGATTCAAAGAAGAGGCAGAAATGCTGAAGGGCTTGCAGCATCCCAACATTGTCCGGTTTTACGACTCCTGGGAATCTTCACTGAAAGGAAAAAAGTGCATAGTGTTGGTTACTGAACTGATGACATCAGGGACATTAAAAACGTGAGTACTGAAGGCCTGATATTCAGTTTGAAAGGAGAGCTGTCAGTGTTCGTCTTCATTTACTTTTCAACATGACTGATTTTCATGAACATGAATATCTCATTTTTTTTTCTTTGTAGGTACTTGAAGAGGTTTAAAGTGATGAAACCCAAGGTTTTGCGAAGTTGGTGTCGGCAGATTTTAAAAGGCTTGCATTTTCTACATACCAGGACACCCCCCATCATTCACCGAGATTTAAAATGTGACAATATATTCATTACTGGACCCACTGGATCTGTAAAAATTGGTGATCTTGGGCTTGCTACGTTAAAAAGAGCTTCTTTTGCCAAAAGCGTCATAGGTAATTAATAAGCAGTTCTGTGCTGTCATCTTTATTGGTTGGATGTGATATTTATGTACAGACAAATGAGTTGAAAGTGTTGTTGAAGGTGATGATTATTAACATAAAACTGGCAGTGTCCTGTGTAGAGCCCTTAGAAAATGGACAGCTCCATCTGTGGTATTCACAATATCGGGTTTCATAATGTCCCATCACCACTTCTGTGCATCAATACAAGCACAAGGCTTTCATCCCGTTTTATTCTATTTCATGTTACATTACTTATTATGTCATTAACACAGCAATTAAATTGCAAACCAGCCGTTTTTGCCAAACTGCCGAAATCTTCTAACAGTAATACCCGTGTTAACATTTCTGCAAGATAACCTTCTTTATTCCTTAAACATCAAATAAAATCTGCTCAACTTCAGTTTCTTCCAAACCTGGCTTAAAGTGCTTTTCAGTCTTTTTTGTAAGTCCTGGTACATATACAGGTGAAAATGTATACCTATAAGTTACCTTTAATTAAAAACACTATTGCAACTTGCTGATGTTAGCTTTGCAATGTTTAACTTTCAATTTCAAATGGGGATTTTAAGAAAAGAACTATACCAGGTTCAAAGTAATATTTGGAATGTTATGAAAGCATTCACCTCATATTTTGTCTTTATGAGGTCTCGGGGAGTCTTTTGACATTTTTTGTTCATTTGTAGGTACTCCTGAATTTATGGCCCCTGAAATGTATGAGGAACACTATGATGAATCAGTGGATGTGTATGCCTTTGGAATGTGCATGCTGGAAATGGCTACCTCAGAATACCCTTACTCAGAGTGTCAAAATGCTGCCCAGATTTACCGCAAAGTCACAAGTGTAAGTTAAAATAACCTTCTGGTATAGTAACACCATATTATGGCATATGTTATGCATTAAACTTAATACTAATGTGTATTTAGACATAGCCCTCCCATCTCCTTTATTGGTAATATCTGTATACAGGTCTTCTAATGTTGTAGCAGAAAGATACAATATTGATGTTTTTGCCAAAGCCTGGATGCCAGTTTTCATGATCAGAGATTAGAAATGGTTTCCATATAAACCTATCCACAGCTTTTCTTTTTGTAGGGGGTGACATAGGTTTAATTTGTGAAATTTTCAATGGGCCTTGTTATACATCCATTTTTATTAGTGACATTTCTGACAATTGTCGGTTTCCTGTCCTGTAATGTCACTAATACAAACATGTTTTTGTATACACAGCTGCTTTTTGTTTTGATCAGTATAATCTGAAATCATGCCAGAAAACCATTACCATGGCTTAAAGAATGGTATATGCCAATTTTAGGGAAAAAAAAACTTACTGGCGTTAAAGACACATCCTGGATCACTTAATTTCCCTAGAATCTATAGTACAGTATAGAGTCCTGTGTGAGGGTTATGCAATTTGAATCTTCAGTCATTAGTTCATTCTGACCTGTCGGGCTGCTATTCTGTTTACTAGTGCAGTGGCTCTCCTGCTAGCAAAACTGCATCAAGAGTGGCTCCGTGTCACTGACTGACATGAATTCTCAAAGGCGTTGTCTTCTGGGACAGAGTGACCTTTTACGGTCTGTTTGTCCAAGCTCTGAAGTGGCAGGAAGAGGGAGCAAGGTCCCAGTGCTTTTGTGTTAGGCTGTATGTGTATTCAGGAAACGGAAAGCACATCCTCCGTTTTCATTGTCATACCTTGGCTACTGTAGTTTGTGTTTTCAACTGGTTTTGTTAAGAGCTCTGTGTACAGCTGTCCACATCCCATCAAAATTAGTTTGCAGTCAATATTTTCATATGCAACAGTTTCATGTTCATATGTAAGTCGCAGGTCAGTGCTTTGTTCTTGCACCACAGTAATCTACAGTACATGCACCACAACCCTAGTTCTTTTTCTTTAATTTTTCTGTAATTCGTTAACTTATTCTGGAAAACTACACACAACGTGCTAAAAAAGCACTTGGATTTGAAAGCTGTTTCAACACTTTGTCCCAAGAGAGAATTTAGTGTATTTCAGTGTAATGTAAAAAGTGCCTAGTCATTACTTAGTCAAACTGTTACAGATCATATCTATTCTAACAGTACTTGTGTACTTATTGAGGGTTTTGTGAAATTTGCCACCGTTCTTTTTTTTTCTGCTGTTAGTGTGTTGTGTTCATAGGGACCCAGGGCAAAGAGATTTGAGGACTGATCTGAAATGAGCAGCACAAACAGGAGCACGCATTTTGTAACTAGTATATGTTTAACATGTGTTTTTAACAGCACCTGCCCCCTCTGAGGATTTCTGCCTAATTATGCCTCCTGATAGAAGAGAATAATTATTTGGAAAGGTTTACAGGGCCATGCAGAATCCTCTTTAAGATTTTGATATTTCCAATTAAGAGAGAAATTTAGAATTTAACTCTTGTCTGCTTTATGTGGATATCTTGCGTCTTTTCTGGAGAAGGAAAGGTCAGACTTGCATTTAAATCGCAGATTTTAACATGTTGGGGCATTTTGAACAACCTTGAGAATATGCTTTTTCTTCTGAATGTTTACAAAAACTGATATATAGCCCATTCTTAATTATATTTTAAGTTATGATTTGCATAGAATCAGTCATGCTCATTTGTTTGTTACCTGTGCTGTAAGGCTAGAATCTTCCATGAGGGTGAGAGAGTGAATCATCTGTTTTAAAAAAATCAGCATATCTCTTTGCTCTTCATGTATTGAATCTGAAAACTTGAACAGAAAATGTCAGGATTATTATTTTTCTAGTTGGTATACAATGGCAGAGATTGGTATTTTTCCAGTCAGTTTTATGACCCAGAAAAAAAAAACGTAATTTGACTAAAAAATAAAAATTAAAGCGCAATATATTTTTGATTGTAGAATGTCATGCTACACCTAAGTGATTCACTTTCTAGTATTATGCTCTTTTAAAGTTAATATATGACTGTATATTAAGATTCCACCTTTTAAATTTCTGTGAATTAAATCTAGGTCATAACTAAATATATTTAATCAAATGTCATGTTTAATATATGGATAAGTGTTCTATTTATAGTATTCAACAGAAAAACACCTTTAACATGGAGGTATTTACCTTTATTTTGGCCTTCCATATCCTGTTAACGTCTTGGAATTGTCTGTTTCCCTAAAGGGTGTGAAACCAGCAAGCTACAACAAGGTTACAGATCCAGAAATCAAGGAAATTATCGGAGAATGTATCTGCCAAAAAAAGGAGGAAAGGTCAGTTCCAGACTTGACAAAGAACAAACACCTCTTTCATTTTCCATAATTCATTGCTATGCCTTTGACTGCAAGCTTGACAAAACCTTAGAAATCTGTATTCTCATCTTTAAAATTGTTTTAAACCTTGCAAATGTTAATTATAAGCATAAATTTGCTTCAATGTGTTAGATTGAAACCTTCATTTTATTACATTTATTCTCAGAACATTTTAAGACTTTAAATTAATAAAACAAAGACCAGCGTTTAAGGTTAATTAAAATTCATAAAAGAAAAGGCTTTGGCCAGCAGAAACCTGTAGCTTTTGTAACTGTGAAAGAATCAGTCTAGCACGTACAATTTGGAATTTGTGAATTATTTTTTTTTTAAAAACTGCGTGAAGAAAATCCATCCCTTATCACATACAGGGACACACTGTCGAGGCCTCTTTTGCCAAACCTCTCGAATGTCCGCAGTGTGGAAATCTGCACTAGAAGCAACTTCTCTGCAATCATGTAACGAAATAGTCGGTTGTAGGTGAAGGGTGGATTTAGTTATCCCTTGCTTTCTCGTTGAAAAGAAAAATGCCGAAAGAACTTCGACTCTAAACGGACGCCTGCTCATCTGTGAAGCATAGACCAGTTAAAGTAAAACACAACAGATTTTGTAGGTTAATACTACAGCCTTTATTATAATTGTTAAAATGGCTCATTGTGAACTGACCCTTTAAACAGCCTGTACCATGTGTCATATGAAGAGGACAGTGGCCTTTCTTTTTTTCCACACTGACCTCGGTAATACACCTGCAATTCTTTGTTTTTCAGGTATTCCATAAAGGATCTCCTTAATCATGCCTTCTTCGCTGAGGACACTGGGGTGAGGGTGGAACTTGCTGAGGAAGATGATGGCAAGAAGTCTTCGATTGCTTTGAAGCTGTGGGTCGAAGATCCGAAGAAGCTGAAAGGGAAATACAAAGACAATGGAGCCATTGAGTTTAGTTATGACTTGGAGAAGGAGGTCCCTGAGGATGTTGCTCAGGAAATGGTGAGCCAACTTAACCCAGCTTGTATCACTGTCAAATAAATAGGACTTTCCCTTCCCATAATACAGAATGGGAAAATACATATTAAAGTTGACTGTTGTAGTCTTTGTATTTAACATAGTTTAGGTGGTATTAATAATATAAACTAAATCCTTTATATCCCAGTTTCATTATTTTTTTAAATTAATTTACAGCTCTCTGTAAAACATGCCAGAACAACTGGGATCTACTTTCTGATCTAAAAAGCAAGAATGCACTTCAGTCCAGATTCAGGTTTTTGTAGATTGTATTGCAGATTTCTGAATTCCATAAAGCATTTTCATGTTTTCTTTACAGGTTATAACGCATCCTAAATCAAAAGATAAAACTATTTTTGGAGTTCCGTAGCTTATTTTTCACTGGCTGTCAGATGCATCACTAGATGTTTTGATTATTAAGGGAGGTCAAGCAAAATAATGGTATATTGTATTATTAAGGTAAAAGAGAGATGGCATTTTTTCATCATAGTGCTAAAAGGGATGGTATTCTAGTGTACTCCTCTTTAAGTTAAGTTTTTTCAGTAATTGCATCTGAAACATATTGTCTTTTACATCTGAATTTGTGGGTAATGAAATGGAGATGGAAACTGCTCTTGGGCAAAATGCCACAAAGTCTTTCAACAGAAGGCAGAAGCTCTGTCAAGGTACCTCCCACATCCTTGGACAGACCCTTCATTCATGGGCCTCCAGCTTGTGTGCCGCAGTGCTGAACTGACTGTTTTATTTTTTCTTATTTCCTCTGGGAACTACTTTTACTTATCAGCTGTGATGTATTTGAACTTTAGCTTCTGAGGTATGCCAAGTGAGAATACACAAGACATCCTTCATCGTGTACTCTACACTACTTGTGAGAACAATTTGCACAGGAAAATGAAGTATGCATTAAGTTGAAGTTAAATTAAGATGATCAGGTAACCAATACTAGATGGTGCTTCTTGCTTCTGCTTTAAGGCATTTTTATTTTATGCGCAATGTTTACTTAGACTATTCTAAAGTACATTGATTTGCCAGGAGTAGGTCCTTACAACAGTAGGATGTTAAGAAAAAGTGATGCCTACAGTATTGCACCAAAGTTTAAATTCCTCTGTAATCTGGTACTGTATAGCTTGACTTGAGACCTCTCAGAAGGAATATGCTGTTTATGTAGTTAGAAAATGGATTTAGGTAATTAACTTTTCCACTGTAATTTCACTTATATAAGGAGAGGGCTGGGAAAGTGTATTTAAAAAAAAAAATATATATAACTAAGTGTTTAATAAGGTTTGTGCTTGATCTTAAAGCACTTTAATTGCTACACATACAATTTAAATGTGTTTTCTTGTCTCTGCTTTCTAAGGATTTGATTTTGCTTTTTGTTACTTGTAGAATTTTTCTGCAGACTTTTTTTTTTTGCAGATTGACTAGGAAAACAAGGATGAAAACTTTTTCAATAGACACAAAGCCGATCTCGAACTGTAATTATTTCCATGAAGTAGGAAGGTCTGCAGATTTTTAACAGCAAAAGCATATATTCAGTACCATAGGCAAGGTGGAGATGGCCAAAGATTTTTTGCTGTGTCATTGTAGGATAGTTATCCTTATTCTCCTAATTAGGCTAGTCCCATGTGTGCCCTTAAAATTTGCTTTAGAAAGCTTGAAACGATGATTGAGTGCCCTTGTTTTTAATTTTCTATTTTATGTCTTTAGATACTTGATAGTCTGTTTACAAAACAGCATTTAACTAATAGACTCTTATTTTTATTACAGGTTGAAACGGGTTTCTTTCATGAAAGCGATGCTAAGATTGTTGGAAAGTCGATAAGGGACAGAGTGTCGCTGATCAAGTGGAAAAGGGAAAGGACTATCCCAGTGACGGAAAGTGAGGAGCAGAGCGACCGCGAGTGTGCAGAGAGCCAGAGGAGTCAGCTAGTGCAATCGCAGATCCCGGCCAGAGGGTTACCGTGTGCTGGCCAGCCCGTCCTCTTGGAACCAGAGGAACCCGAGTCCGACCAACACGCACGCCATTGCAACTTGCCTGCCAGCGCCACATCTGTAACATGTAAGAAAGTGCCGCTGAATAGCAATACGTCTGATGTCACAAAGGCATAAAAATAACTGCTCCAGGAGGGCCTAAGCGTCTTTAATTGGCCTCCATTAGGACACCACGTCTTCATCTTCAAATATGCCGGTTGCTTTCACCCTCTAAATATGGAACAAAGAAAAAAAAAAAGCATGTGGATGAAAGTGTCACCAGCCCCCTCTGCTACCAATGAAGGGATCGTGTTAGTAATGGATCATTTTTATGTGATGGTTAATGTCATTGGAATTGCTAAGCAAGGCAGGGTTTATAATGGTTCAGTCTTGGCTATAAATACTTTTAATAATGCTTGTTCTTGTAGTGAAAGTATACTATCTGGTTACTTTGAAATCTTTAGAAAAATATAAACATAAACGTTATTTCTTTATTTCTAAACATTTTTATTACATCTTTTACATAGATATTAGCTGTGCACATTTTATGTGCCTGCAAAATTTTAACTTGGAATAAATCCTTTGACACCAAACCCCTTTATCTGCCTTTTTAAAGTGTGCTGATCCTTTGAAGCCCAGTGAAAATAGCTATAGGTAATTATCATATGAGTCATAATTCTGTGACTTCATAGTCCTTTTCAAAGGTTGCTGAAGGATTTGATTCCTCAGGTTGAGCTTGCATCAGCACTGTATTTTTACCTCGCGGCCCACAAGCTGCACATAATGTATTCACGCAAGGCTTTATCACATCAGCCTAACATATCTCTGCCAGACGCTGTTTGCATGCTAATGCGTTTAAAAGCTGTGTGAGTCTCTAGTGGCTTGAGACTCCATGCAGTCTTTAGAGTAATACATTTCCCCGTTTGTCAAATGAGGCAAGTGTGAGGGGCTGTGGGAAGCACTGTTCCAGGTTCATGATTAAAGAAGCAGCACAAGGTTCCTTATGTGATGGGAGTATCAAGTTCAGTGCTTTGACAGAGACTTGGAAACATTCTCACACTGAAAGATGTAATAACTTGACAATCCTGTTTGTGGATAGAGTTACATGCTCCCTGAAATTGATGTAATATTGTATTCTGTTTAGTTTGCATTTTTTAATTATTCTATTATTTTTTTCAGCTATGACTGTATAGATCATGCTTGTCTGTAATGATTATGTACTTGTATTTGTACACGTTAAAAGGATTGAAACGTTTGAACTGGCCTTAAACAAATCTCAGGTTAATCCATGAAAAATCTTTCTAGGTATAATGAAGTTAACATGAAGAATATACTGTTAGGCCTATTCTTTAATGTTCTTTTTTTTCTTCCTAACATTCACCTCCTGTGCTCCCAGCTGATGGCACCTTTGACAGTGGCCTGGGCTCCACAGTGTATTCCGACTCTCACAGCAGTCAGCAGAGCGTGATCTACCAGACTCTTCTTGACCCCATCTCCTCAGCTGGCCAGCAGGTCTGTAGCCCCCCGATTAATGATGTGTCGGCCCCTCCCCCTAGCCTGCACCAACACCAACACCAACAGCCGCAGCTGGGGCCCTGTCCCCAGCCTTCAACAGTGAGTAAAGAACGGCACTTGAAACCGTGCTTAAGACTGTCACAACACATTACACAGCCTAATGTCACACCCTGGCCACTTTCAGATCTTCCAGAAACCAAACAATAACATCTCCTGCTGCATACAGTAGTGTATGTGATGTGCTATGACAAACATGGCCTTGTTAAAAAATGATTCTGAAAACAAAAAGTGTTATCTTCAACATGTTACTTTACACATTACAATTTGAGCTCTTTGGTGAGATTTATCATGGTTGCGCCAGGTTGTTTTTTAAAAAAGAATTTGGTACTTTGTTTTAGTTAATTTCACTGCAAGCATTAATATTTATTTTTAAGTGTAAAGGGTAAAGATGTTTGTCCTAACAGTAACTAAATTTGTTTTTCTTGTTCAATGCTGCTTGATACAGAAAAATTCTAGTGCCCCCACCATAATCACGGAGCCTGTTATGTCAGATGTTTCCTCCGATTGTTCTGACGACCAAGCGTCCTGTTCACATTGCCCAAACAGGCTAGGACTGAACCCGACATTTAGACGTGGAAGCACCTCTTTAATCGAAGCTCCCAAGAGCAGCTGCCTGCACCCCTTTTTAAGAGCGTCCGATGTGAAGTCTGAGCCTTGTGGTTGTCGGAAAGGGTTGCAGGTGCGGTCCACTCGGAAGGCATCTCAGAAGTGTGCATGTGAACTCTCGAACAAAAATCCTGCAGATGTGGCTGCTCCAAAAGATCACCTTTCTCTTTTCAGTCCGATTTTTGTGCAGCACCTTGCCTCAAAGTATGTGGATTTTCGCCGGCACAGTGATTCTGCTGTGGCATCTTCATCAGCAGCCTCCGTGCTTGCAGATTCCTTCGCAGCTTGTTCTACCCCAGCTGGGGGAAGTGGTTCCCGAAATAGAACTACTGGGGAAACAGTGGAGCAAAGGCGTTCAGAATTAGATCACTTCCAGTGTCCCATTCAGTTAAGGTCTAAACCTCCTTATTGTCAAGCCTGCTTGGCACACCTCCTGAAGTCTAGAACGGATTTCAAACATCCTGTACACACTCTGCTTCCACCTTGCTTCTGCAGTAAAATGACAGAGTGCTCAGGCACACAGCCCTGTCTGTCAGCCAGCAGCAGGAGCAACCCAGATGTTTCAGACCTTTCTTTGTTGCGCGAATCTTTACATCACATAATTAACCGAAAGACGAGCTCCGCTTTTCTGAAAGCCCCCAAGCTTCCCGAATGGGGATCATATCGGCCTTCTGGTAGCCATGGAGAGGCTGTTGTGCATGCAGCTACAAAGCCGCAAGATAAAGGCATCTGTGGGAAAACCAGACTAAGTGAAAAGGCCAAACCAATGCCTCCAGCTGCCCAGAACAGCAGGGGCACCCAAGCCATTGAAAACAGACTCAGTATTATGGTAGGTCAGATAAAGAAGCTTGGTATGTGCTTAGCTCTCACCTGTTGTTCCAGTGGGTGAAGTGCCTGTAGAGTACTTACATATGGGCTAATTGCATTGAACTCCTTTTGCTCCTCCCCTGCTTTTGCCAAATGGCAACACAGTTTTTCATGAAAATGCCTTCCTTGTGTACAGTGACCCTCAAAAGAGATCCTTGTTTTTACGGACTGGAACTTCTCTTATATTTTTCCTGTTTCTTATTCCTTTAAATCTTGCAAACCTGCCCTTAACGTGTCTTGAGTGTCTCCTTGTCTTTCACAGTAATGGGAATGGCCTTTTTCCCCTAAACCCTTCCTTACACTGATCCTGATTTAAAAGAGGCAATTCAATATTACCAGCTGCCCCTCGAGACCCTTGGTGCATTACAGTATAATATTGAGTAATGTATTTTTTCATAACACTTTCTACTGTTAAGAAATTAGGATTTTTTTGTATTGATTCTGTATTATTCCTGGTACCTGTTAATATTTAGATTAAACACACATGATTTTAAATATTTTAGATACCAAATGACATGTATATTTTATGCACATTTACTTATTTCCTGAAATGTTTCATAAGTCATTTAAAAAAAAGTTACGTTTCATTTCTCAAAATCCCTCACAAATCTTGTCAATTGACAGGGTTTCTTTTTTGCTTTTCTGTTAAGTTTAAGATTGAAAGCAATGTGCGAACTTGATCTTCAGGTAATTCCAAGCAGATGTCTCTGGTACAGTTTTGTTTGTTCACCTGTAGTCTGAACTCCTCTAAAATCAGGAAGAAGCAGAATGAACATTCTTGTTCCGCTATTATCTTTCAGCCTGGTCTATCTGTGGCTCAGAGCACAGCTGCTGTCCTCCCACAACAGGGTCACCAATCATACCAGCAGCCAACACAGACATTCGCAGTTGTCCAGTCAGCTGCAGGGCCCACTGTCCCACAGAGCCAAGCAGCCTCCACTCCTCAAGTCCAGCAGGTGAGGCAGTGCATAGCTTGCACTCAAACACAGATGGCAAACCTATCGATTACACAAACCTTCCCATTTGACGAACACATGATCCCACTTCCCATAATCTATCGACTTGTGTAATGAAAGAATTACAGTGTGTCCTCGTGCTATGTTGTCTGAGGGCATGGCATTAATCTTTGTGTCAGATGTTCACCGTATTGTTCAACTGTGAGTGGTATGGAAGTAGTCTCTGTGCACATTTGTGCTGACTTTTTGCTTTTTTTATTTTTAGTCTTCTTACCCTCTGTTTTCATTTCTCTTAGTTCCAAAGCTATTTCTACACCGCAACATTCCAGTCTCAGGTAGATTTTTGTTCCTCTGATTCAATTTAACCGTGTTGTTAAATAACTGGTTCTTTCAGTTACTAATATTTTGGTATTTGGTCATTTCAGACTGTTTCCTTAAAGCAATGCTTGTTATGAATTGGGTGAAGGGAGAAAAACAGTGCGATCTGTGAAGAATCTGTAGAAAAAGTCTTGCATTAACTTGGCTTTTTGCCATTATAAATACACATTTTAAAATGTTCTAAAAAAATTCTTAAAGCATTTTGTTAGGAAGAATTTGGGGATATGAAATTAGCATTGCACATGACTCTAAAACCAGAGTGAGTATGTGGTACTTACTGTACATGTCCCCAGCATCCCCACCCAGCTTAATCATTTGACCTGTTACAAGCTCTGCTGATGAGGTGCGTCCCTCGCAGATGTCTTTGTAAGACTAAAGACGGGGAACATTGAGAGCCCTGGAAATGCTGATCCAAACGTGTTCTGCCATTTGTGGAAGATCAATCACAAGTCCGCTTGTGACTGTAATCTAAGCTCAGTTTCAACCACATTTACATTTTTGTTTTCCCCCCCGGGTGATTTTTTGGTGGCATCATAAGAGCGATTTCCATTAAAAAAAAACAAACTTGAGAGGACATGTCAAGTGCAGGATATGATGCATAAAAGACTTCTGGTGGGAGGAAAACTCAGATGTATAAGCCAGCCTTTTAATTAGACACCCACGTGTGACCAGTGTCTTTCTTCTCCCCAGCCGTTCACGCCGGCACAGGGTCCCGACATGCAGCCTGTGTGTCCCAGCCAGCCGGTCTTACAGCATGTCCACCAGTTCCAAGCACAGCAGTCCCAGGATCAGAGTCAACCGACCCACTCGCCGCCCCCACTCAAACCTCTACAGATCTCCACAGCACCGCTTCCCCAGTATGTTCATATCCCTCCCACGCAGGTAACTCTTCTCCCATCCTCTCACGCTCCGTGGTCCTCAGTTAAGTACTTTCTCGTAGCGGGGCTATACACTGAGTTTTTTTAGTCCTCGTGATTAGAGAACCTTAATGCTTTTAAGAGGCTCTGTCTTTGCTTTCTGAGCAAAATAATGAAAGTCGTGTTTATGGTTTTACAGCAGCTTTATTCTGGATGTGGGAGCTCATTTATTTAAGAATGCATTAGGCATTTAAGAAAATCTCCCTTTTAACTTGTGTGGAACCAGGCTTTGAAATGGATATTTACAACATTTTCTGCTTTCAAAAGGTTTGTGCCCTTCTTGTCTACATATTTCATCATCTCTTTACTCTTTTTTTTTTGCCTTTTCCAGTTCCCTCAGCAGTTTCCTGTTATTCCAACAGCAACTCCTCTTGCTGGATGTGAATCTTTCCCTCCTCCTTCTCTTCCTTCTCACTCTGGCTTCCCCAGCACCAGCGCCCCCCCTGTGCCCACCTCTTACTTCTCTCCAGGACAAACAATAGCAGCCCCTTCAGCGAACGCCACTGTCTCTCTTCCTGCCACTCAGATAGCTCCCACCATGCAGCCTGGGATCCCAGCTCAGGCCCCCGGATCTGTCGCCTTGCAATGCCAAAGAGGGCCAGCTCCCATGCACTTGCTTGCCATGGCTGTCTCTGGCATTTCAGTTTTGCAAGCTCAGCAGCCGATAGCCCAGATCGCCCAGCAGCAGGTTTATCCTCCTGCTCTGCAGCAGATTGTTAACCCAGAAGTCCCTCCTGTGCAGGCTACTCATATAGCACAGAGTGTTTCTCAGCAGCTTCCTTTGAGCCAGCAGGTGCTTCAGCCCAGCTTAAACCCACTGCCTGAGCCTGCTCTACTTGTTTCTGAGCCTTCTGGCCAGGTAAATATAGAAGGGGTTGCTATGCAAATATTTTAAATATTTGAAGAATGGCAAATGAAGTCCATAATTTCATTTTCAAGACTCAACATGTTTTCTGATTTTCTGTATATACCATGTGCATGACACGGTCAGTGAAGAATAAATGTCTTTAATAACCATTTTGAACAGACACAAAAAGAGAGCCAGCAATGGATATTGGTAATTTAAGGACAAATCTTTAAAATCAATGTTGTCTATATTGTAAGCTGTTTCATGCATGGGGCATTTCTTCATTAAATTTAAGACTTGGAGTAATAACTATGTTCACTGAGGGAGTTTCCCAGCAGTGAAGTGCAGAACTTGTCATTTTGGTCTTTATCATTTTTAAAATCACATATTATACCCCATATTGCCTGTTTAGTCAAAGAAAGCATTTTCATATTTAACTTGCTTTTATAAAATTAATATGCCTTAAATTAATATATTGTTTTCCACAAATGCTATTTTTCTCAATCCCCCAATTACAACAACCTTTCACACTTGTGTGACGATTTATCAGAATGTGTGTTAAGTTTTTTTTTTTCCTTCTCCATTTCAGATAAATATTGGACAAATCCCATCAAACTATCCCTTAGATTCCAGCTTACAGGTTGAAGCCCAAGTTCCAGCACCAGTCCAGTCTGCCCAGGCCCCTGTCCTGTCTCCACCTATGAAGATCTTGCTGGAAATGGGACCTACAACAGCTGGCCTAGAGCAAGCACTGCATCCCATTAGCACTCAGGCAGCAGATGCCTCTACAGTGTCCCAGCAAAGCAGAGACCGTGGACCTGTAGCAGATGTTTGTAAAGAGGTACAGGTGTTATCTGGTGTTTTATGGCCATGATTCTGCCATGCATTGCCTTTTTTATTTTTTTTTCCCCAATCCTCTGCTTAGATGCTTTTCTTTTTAATTAAACACCTGAAAGTAAAATGTGTAACCTTAAACCATTTAGCAGATGATCAATACTGTGGGGGTTCGTAAAATAAAGTGAGTTTGCTACATTGCATTTTTTTCTCACCTTATCTAGTTTGGCAGGAATCTAAACCGTCTTTTTAGATGTATGGCCTCATTAAAAGGGATTTAGCAAACATATACAAAAGATACTGCTAACACATGAGTATGATTACCATAAGTTTGTGTTCACAAAGTTGAGTGTCTCTTATGTTGAAGTGTGCAGTGGAAATCATTACCCTATCATTAGCACAGCTACATGCGCCTGAGTAATGAGCGCATGTATCTCAAGCGTAAGTCGTATGAGAGCATGTTCCATGCCACAAGGTGCACTTGAGGAAAATGGCTTCTAACTGTAAAGATGCTGTTGACTCCACCTATTGTAAATTAGGCAGCAGAGATTGAAAACATTCAGAGACGTGTAGGACAGACAGATGTTCTTTGGAGAATATATAATATTCTGGAAAGTTTTTAAAAATATTATGTTGTTGGTATCACTGCCACCCAGACCTTTTTCTTTCTCTCTTTGGTAATGGTGCCCTACCCTTGTGATAAGGAAACGGTACCATGTTCAGAGAAACCACTTGTGTTTCAGGGCAGTGTTGTATGTGAACTATCTCGGCATGCTGCTTTTTATTTTTCATCATTTTAATATACAAGTCTTTTATTGTGCGGTTTAGTACAATATGATGGTTGACGTATAGAGAAAGTTCTGTAAGTGGTGAATAATATAGAAAAAGACTATCCCGAGTCTTTAACTATTTACTATTTGTAATTTTTTTTTATCTAAAGCTTGTCTACAAGCCATTTCTGTCATTTTTGGTCAATGCCCATTTTTTGTTTTGCAATATTTTCAGGAATCTACACCAGACAAACAGGTGCCTCTGCAGAGTTATTGCTATGATAGGTAGGTGCTGACAGAAGCTTTTAGTTTTCTACTTCTGATACTGTGATCAAGCTTTTACTTGCCTCTTAATTTTTTTTTTACTTGCAAAATATTGAATTCAAACTTCCTTTTTGAAGGAGTAGAGTTAACATATAACCTTTTTGCCATCAGTAACCAAAGTGCATGTATTGTACTGACTCTGAAAGGTCAGCCATGGAGTATTTCAGAGATTGCGAATAACTGTTGGATTCAGCTCAAGTGAAATTTTCCAACTATCATTTTAAGAAGAAAAGGTTCTAAATATGCTTGTCGGCCCTTGTTCTGAGTAGTGTGAATTCTGACGCCACTTCGGGCAAAGAGATGAGCGATGGCTGTGAAGGAGCCCAAAGCAGCGGGAAGCAGGAAGGCAAGTCGAGGAAGCATCACAGGAGGTCGACACGAACACGCTCACGGCAGGAGAAGATGAGCAAGCCCAAACTGACCATTCTGAACGTGAGTGTTGCTTGTTCAGTCCTGTTCCTGGGCCGTCTAGCTTTTGCTCCAGTTGAGTTTTACGTCACATGCTGACTTATATCTGCTCTCTATTGTGAGGCATTTTTTCCAATGAAAATGTGCTTTAAGCTCTTGCCAAGTTGGGTGACAGTTGTAATTATCGTGAACCCTGTGCTGATCAGCAAGAGTCGGGACCGCTCTTATTCAGGTGTGCGAGCTGAAGTATGACGTATTGGACTGAAACAGAAGGGAAAACAATGACTCTGTGGGGGTGTCTAATACCTTGTCATTTCCACCTGTGTCTGTTCATCATCAAGTAATAAGCTATAAGTAAGGGCGCCAATCTTAGGTTAGCATTTTCATGAGAGACTGTACTGTATAAGTTTCTATGGCTGAAGTTACTGTAAATGCACTTCAGGTTGGATATTTTTCCATTATTTCCAAAACCATAGCAGTAGAGTGGCAGAAGATTCAAACAATCTTTAGGTCTGTCAGCATTTTAACGAAAAGAAGGAAAATGACCCATTCCACTTGAAGCAGTGATGCATACGTTTAGTAGATAAAAACAGAACAGTAATCTTAACTATGCATTGGGAATGAACAAGTGACTTTTGGGTGAATGTAGTCCATATCTTCAGGTAACAACAATAAACTCTTCTAAAGGCAGCTAGATTTCAGAAAAGCAGAATAATGTCAGGAACCTTAATCTTTCAGTATGTGACAGCTTTTATAAAGAAATTATTTTTTGGAAGGTTTTTAGTCACATTTTGAGAGAACACAAAATGTGTATATCCAAAGAAAAGTAACTTTGAAGTAAATTCCAGCTCTTTTAAAAAAAATAACCTTATGTTAAAATTTATTCATTGACCTTTCCATTTCCCCTTCCTTTTTATTATTAATGAAACCAGTTATATTCATCTTCCATCAGGTCTGTAATACAGGAGATAAGATGGTTGAATGCCAGCTGGAGACGCACAATCACAAAATGGTGACGTTCAAGTTTGATTTAGATGGGGATGCTCCTGAGGAAATTGCAACCTACATGGTAGGTTTTACAGGTGCCAGAAAGCAGATTGATTTCTAATGTTCTCAGTTTTTTTTAAAAAAAAATCATTCTAATGGTAATTTCCTTATTATTTTGAAATTGAGATTCTATTGTGTATAGGGTTTTCAATCTGTTACCAGACAGATAGGTTGTGATGTGGATGGATTTTAAAATTGGCATAAGGACCTCGCCTGAAACTGTGTCTTTTGAAATCCAATTAAACTTTTTTTTAACCATGGTACAGTTGAAAAAATCTTAGGGTGTGCAGCCTTCTCCTGAGATGTTCCCGTCTGGTGTTTTTACACATTGAAGTATGTGCTTTGCCTTTTCTCTTTTTAAAGGTGGAAAATGATTTCATCTTGCATGCGGAGAAGGAGATCTTCATTGAGCAGCTGAAAGATATCATTGATAAAGCAGAGGATATGCTGAGCGAAGATACAGAAGGAGAGCGAAGCTCTGACCAGGGAACAAGCCCCCAGCAGGGCCATGTATCAGGACTAGAGCTGGGAGAGGTGGGAAAAGAGTTCAATGTGTAGCCTTTAGGTCCAAAGACATGATGCATCTCCCTTGGTTGCTTTGATGATCCTTGTATGTATTTATGGCAGAGATATCACTATATACTGCAGAGTTTTCAATGCAGCAATGGGGAGACTATGCTCAAAATGGAGTCCTTTCCTCCAAAGAACATTTTTATATGATCAGTCAAGAGGACCCCTTCTTTTCTTCGTTAACGTGGATGCTCTTTATTTCAGTTATGCTCAGTGCTTTGACAGTTTAATCTAAAGATCTTTTCTGTAATGTACTTTTCTCTGCTTGAGTCTTTTTTTAATTACTGAAATGACAAGCAATTTCTGTCATTTGATTAGAAATCTTATCTTTACAAACTAGGATCATTAGTGACGCATTTCTGGTTTTTTTAGAATGCAACAGCACAGCAGCCTCGTACCAACCAGCCAGTTTATCAGCAGAATGGTAACTACTGTATATTTACTTGCTCTTGGTTGCCTTTTTGTTGTGTGATGGTGCATACAACCCTTAATTCTAAAAGAAATTAGGAAAAGGCCACTGCAGTGAGATGTTAAGATCAAATTGATGAGTAATACGGCTTACTTGTTTTTCTGGACTGCCTGATCTTTTTCTAATCATGTTTATTCTTTATCATTTGATGCATCTTCATTGACTTTTCTCATCTTTTACAGTACTTCATACTGGCAAGAGGTGGTTTATTATTTGCCCAGTTGCTGAAACTCCCACAACTGAGGAAAAGGAGAAGTCGTCAGCAGTACTGACATCAGCAGCACAGCCTGCTGCTTCTCAAGGTAAAATTGCTGCCAGAGAATAAAGCCTACAAAAAGTGCTAGCTTTATTAAGAAGAGAAAACCCATTAGAACAGATTCTAGCCTTCAGCTTTTTAATGATAAATATGTTAAAGGGCTTTCATATTTGTTGAAGGTCATATGTATATGGGAAGAAAACATAGTTGTAAAGTTGTTTCGTAAGGCTTAATTTGGCCTGTAGGTCAGAGGAATTATGTGAGGGTGTGCATCTGTGTGGACAAATAGGACAGCGAAGAGGGCAGTTATGTAACGGCACCATCAGGCGAGTACTGTGCTTCTATGAAGGACGTGCATTGTGTGTTATTATAGATCACTCCTGCTTCTTTTGCACTTGCAGAAAGATGAGTTGGAATGTGATGCTCTCAGATATGCGGGATGTTCAGCAGAGTTTGCCAACAATTTTTTTTTTTTTCCCGCTTCTAGAGCCAGAAGCCCAGATCAATACCACAGCAGTGCCACTGTCCACAGTGGCAGCTCAGGGTTCCACTGAGGTCTGGGATGGTCACAACAGCACACCCCCACCTTTCACTACAGGCGCTGCAGATCGAGCAGTTCTTCCCTTGTCTGCTTCAGTAGTATCCAAAGGTACCCAAATTAATGACCTAAAGAGCGATGCAAGGGAGCTTGAAATTCAGCAGACGCAGCTGACTACTGCTGAGGGACTTCCACGTGAAATTCGGAGCTCCCTTTCAAATGATGAACCTTTCAGTGGTCAGCCCAGCACCATGTCACCCATTCATACCGTCCAGCAAGTGACTGAAATTGCATGTGCTGCCTCCGTTGTTGCAGATATCCCCTGTTGTCCCATCGTGCCACCTCTCTCTTTAGATATGACAGCTGTTCAAGCGGTGCCATCTCCGCCCCTGTCGGCAAGGGACACCAGCCATATTTCAGACCTTCCAACCAGCCAGGCTGAAAAACCCCAGCAGCCTGTGGTACTGCAGCAGCCTTTTGCAACCTCCGTGCAGTCCTCAATGGCAAAATCGCCCTCTCAACCCCAGAGCCCAGCTCAAGCTCCCCAACATTATTTGCAGCAGCAAATCTCAACACCTGGCCCGTCATCCACCCAGCAAGCTTACCTGGTGGAATCCGATGGTGAAGGCCCTCGTCGAGTTGAATTTGTTGACAACACGATCAAGTCGCTAGATGAAAAGCTGCGCAATTTATTGTATCAAGAGTATGTCCCTATGTACCCGGCCAGTGGGACATCTGAAACTCCTGGATCTTGCACAGAGTATATTCACTCTCCGCCCATTATTGAAAACGCAGTGGTTGGAACTGAAACTTGCACGTCCAGCCTCATGGGGAATGGGGTCCCAACCAGTGAGCCTGTAAGCTGTGCTGTTCCCAGCCGAGTGTCTGCATGGTCTGGATTTGAGGATCAGACTGTAAGTCTCTCTTTTAAAATTGTGTTATAGCAGTAACAGGGCAGAATAGAAAATTGTGATGTGACATATTGCTTGTCAGGTGTGTCTCTCAAGTGCTGCTCATCTTCTTTTTTTATAGTTTTTCCATATCCATGTTTTGAAAGTCAGGTGCTGCGCTGGTTGTAAAATTAGGCATGTAAAAGTGCTTTTCACATTTAAACTGGTTTTGGTTTATTTGGTCTCCTCAGATCAATGTGTTGGCTGCAAAAATGTAAAACACCTTGCCATGACTTTATTAATATCACTTAATTTCACAAGTGAGCCTGGTCCTTGTGCTTTAGTGGTGGATGAAGTGAGTCCCTTCAACTTTGGTATCAAATAGTGCTATACAAATGCAAGCAGTCAGAATTATTTGATCATCTGACATGCACTTAGACAGTGAAACCCATCCAGGATTGGAATGTTCATCAGGTTAACTAAGGATCTACAATACTAACATTTGATCAGCCCATTCAATACTTTTTGCTTCAAGGTGTTTGTGCTCTGTCAGTGCTTTTAAAAGTCATGTATTTCACACCAACAGTTCTATTTTTGGCTGTATCGCAGATGTCCAGACAAAATCAAGCTTAGGTCATCTACCAAAACTGATCTCACCCTTGAACTAATGATGGAAACTTATTGATTGCACTAATTGCATTTAATTGTGCATCCAGCCAGTGAGTTGGAGGCAAGGTCTTTTATATCTCAATGTCATATTCCAATGCATTACTGTCCCAGGCACAAATTACTCAAACATGCATATGGAGAATGTATTTATTACAGCATGACTACTCTTTGGTTCCTAAATAAAAATGGTAAAAACCAAAAAGTAAATGTTAATTATTTACAGTACAGTGCAAATATACTTTGACTTTTCTTTCAGTTTTGTTATAAGTGAACACTGAAACTGCATTTAAATTTCCTTATCTGTACTGAGCTGTCTTATATGACAGTTTTGATTGTAAAAAAGTACAGTTTTGAAATATGACATATCTTATGTTTCCCTCTCAAATTCTCAGGTATTAGAAAAAAATGAAATGAAATCTCCAGTAGAGAGCGAAGGTAGGTTGACCTTAGGAATTGCAAAATGTACAGTTAAACCCAATGTATTGTTTAAAAAACAAATGTGGTACATTTAAATTAATTGTAATATTGACCTGAAAACTCCCTTCAGATTTCAGCTCAGCTGTTTAAAGAAATAAGTCTCAATCACCTATTCTGGTGGCTTGAATTTTCATACGGTATATTTTTCTCTATTAAATAAATTTAATTTAGCACACTCTGATTTTATCTTCCATAACTCTAAGTAATAAACATGTGAACTACTTTGCAATTTTATTGGTGTTTTCATTTGCAGTGTATTAGACTAAAAAACCATGGCAGTCACAGATGGCACTGATAGAGCCTAATTGCCTCTCATGGGTCTCTGTGACATTATACAGCATTATCAACAATGTATGGGTGTTCAGCATTGTCAATGGGCCATTTTAGATGTGCTCAAAATGGATACATTGATTCCTAAGGACATGAAGGAAAACTGCAGTCAGGTTGTACATAACCAGACATTCACCTTAATTTGAGACCTTAAATTGACCTCACTACATAAGGTCTCCACTTGTGTGCTAGCATTCAGATATTGGTCTTGCTGAGTGCAGAGTTGGTCAAGTTATTCACGCAAAAGAAGAACTGTTCAGTATGAAAAGGAAATTGCACCAATGCAAATTGGAATTGGTTGGTGCTCATGCAGCACACAGTAAGTAGAGAAGTATAGAAATTAAATTACTACCCTACATTTTTAACAGGGATTCATCCATTAGTTAAAATTTCCCTTTTCTACACGTCACAGTTGATACAGAGGAACATACTGTAAGTTTTTTGTAACTTTGTACTTCTGTTTTTTAGAAAGTGGAATTAAGAAACAGACTGACTCTGCATCTAACATACAATCTATTTCTGGAAACAGCCGATTCCAGGTAACAAATTTATGTGGAAATGCCTCTAGCGTTCTTCTGACAAATGCTAGAAAATTCCTGTACTGAATGTTTTTGGTTGTACATGATTCCACTAGTACTGCACTGCAAGAGGGAAACTCATTTTCATGTATACAGTTTGAACGGCAATCTTTTTGGTATTTACCCTTTATTTGAGATATGAAAACACACAGAGCTAAAAACCTAGCATCTTTAACTAAAATAGGAAGGGAAGGTTTCCATGGGGCGTATATTGTCACACCCTGCCCCCTTTCCCCCTGAAGCACGGTGGCTGAAATTCTTTTGGTCAAATGTGGAATCCACTCAAAAGAGGTTTGTAATTAAAAGCTATAAGCCAGCATCACGTGGCACTGCATACCCACAGCCATCCTCAACATGTTAAACAGAGAAAAGCTGTTAGCCTGTGAGGCCCTGGATAAAATGAATAAGCACATTAACAAATCAGATATAAACACACCTCTGTTAAGGACAGCCTTAACAACCTTAATTCAACTTTGATAGTGTAATCTGAACTGCAGTAAAGCATTTTATGTCGATTTTCATTTCTAGCCATACTGACATCTGGGGCTTAACTTTTTTTGGTTTTGTTTTAAAACTATCCTGCTGCAGTTTGTGTAACTGCTTATGAACCCTTGTCCTGTAGGACCCCTCTGTCTTCTGGTTTTTGTCCCTGACATATTCTTGATTGCGGGCAAGGAGTATTTTTTTTCTTTAGAATTTGCTTTAAACTCTCATAAAGTTGATTTTCAAGTCAGCCCTTACTGGTTTCTGAGCTGCAGAGCTCCCCTCATTCAGGTATGTTGTTGCCTGAAATGTAACCAAGCAAGTCTCTGCAGAGAAAACCCCATTATGGTAATGTTTGAAAACATGTCCATGTCTCCATTCATCATAAACTGATCACCTATTAATAGCAGTTTCATCAGAAATAAGGGTAAATAAGTTGAGGAGAAACTGCATAATTCTGTATATAGAGGTTGTTTGAAACATTATGCTTTTTGGGAATTTTTGTGCAGAATCTGGTAAACAAAGTGTAAACTAGCTAGCTGATCTAGTAACAGTTGGTTAAAACTGGTGATGAAAACCTGCATGCAAATGGGTTCTCTAGGACCAAGGGTAGAAACCACTTGTGTGTATTTAGTGTCTGCCAATGTTAGTCATACCAGTGGTGTTCTTAAAGCTGTTTTTTATTTTAAAGTATTTCTTTCTCTCTTAGATTATCCCTACTCCTCCAGACATTGTGAAAAAACTGGAACGAAACCGAAAGAGCAGAAGCACTTGTGCGTCCCCGATACCTCCAAGTGCCAAGGGTGCTGACAATTCCCAGGCGGCTGTGCTGGCAAATGGGGAGTCTTATTCGCTTCTTGAAAAGGAAGATCTCGCAGAGCTGCGGTGCAGAGACAACCACATCAAGTCCGATGAGGTCTCCCCCGTGACGACCATTGGCAGGTTCTCTGTGGTTAGCACCAAGGATGAGGTCACTTTGAAGATGCGCAGCAATAGGTATTCAGCACCACCAGACTTTTACCAGGATGTGCCTCCTTCCAGCCCCAAGCTGAAGACGTCCGTCCCACGAGCTCAGACCGCAGTCCCTGTTGATGTGACCATCCACAACCACATTTCTTCAGACTCTGGAGAGGAGAGTACTCCATCTAAGATACCCACCACTCCGCCTGCAAGTCTAGGTGACAACTCTGGTGGTGACTTAATGAAGAAAGCTGTGGCTTTCCTGAGAAGAACTGGGAAAAGCAGTAGTATCCAGAGTTCTGACTCTCCAAGCAGACAGGGTCCAAACGTCCCGACAATAAACATCTCATCCTTCCGCTCCCACTCCTCCTACATTAGCAGTGATAATGACTCCGAATTTGAAGATGCTGATATAAAAAAGGAGCTGCAGAAGCTGAGAGACAAGTATGTTTAAGAGCAGCTATTTGTGGCTTATTTTTCAGTTGTAAATTGTTTTTTGCTTGGTGCACAATTTTTATATAATTTGAAGTAAAGGGTAAACAAGTTAGGGATACATCTGACCGAGATTTTCATCAGTATGTGTATTTGTTTTGATTAGAAAAGTCTATTTTTACCATAAAAGGGGGATCCTGTATTTAAAATGCTTTAAAACACCTTTTACCTATTTTCACCAAGGAGCATGTTCAGATGGAATAATGTGATGCATTTTAAGTATATTTTGTGTCTCTCTAGGCACATGAAGGAGATCTCGGAACTGCAAGCTCTTCAGAGGGGGGAGATTGAGCTCCTTTATAAAAAGCTTGGGAAACCTTTGCCCCCAGCTGTGGGTTTCCTCCATGCTGCGCCACCTACTGGCCGAAGACGCAAAGCCAGCAAGAGCAAGCTGAAGGCTGGGAAACTGCTTAACCCACTGGTTCAACAGCTGAAAAGTGCTACGAATAACACGAGTGAGTATGAAACCAAAACATGTCGGATTTCTAGAATGATTGCGTTAAACATTCAGATTCATGTTACTTTCAATGAAAATAACAATCATTTGAATTATTGATTGATTATTGATTATTGAATCATTAAGTTTTTCTAAACCTTCCATTGAAAGCTTTTTTTGAACTAAATTACAGTGCCTATGCAACTTCAATCTCAATATCGGTGATTGCGGTCTTGTTTCTGTTATGGTGGAGAAGAATGCAAACCTCACACTATACAGTATGTATGCAGATATACGTATATGCAGTACTTTCAAGGATCAAAAGCACTCATCTTTCTTTTCTGAAGGTGAGCCTGCTATGAATCCGCCTGCCTCTTCGGCTAAAGAGTCCAGTCTGGCAGACAGCACTGTCTTTTCCACGGCAAGCACTCTGCCTCCCTCAGCATCTGTTATTCCCGCAGCAGAACCTGTTCAGACACAGCAGCCCTGCTCAGTCAAGGGGTCGCTGTCCTCCGACAACATCTACTGTGGCTTCCTCAGTGAAGGGACAGGGCCGCACAGTGGCCTTGGTCAAGGTGATTGTCTCCCTGCACTTTAGAACAGAGCAGAATGGAATACAGTGAGCTGTTTTGTAATCCCTGTCCTGAAATCTGTGGTCCAATTACCTTTGGCTTTACAGATGTCACATGACACAAGAATCAAATAGATTTGACATTGAATATTTTTACTGTTGTCGCTGTAATCCTATTTTCAGTGGTGACATTACATTATATTACAGAATGAAAGGAACAAATGTTAAAAGTTCCTTCTTTTCTTTGTGGGCATTCAAGAGTAAATTCATAGGTAGGTTGCCCACAATGAAATACTGGGCCTGACATTTTTGGTCAGTGTTTTTTTTAAAGATGTGCAGTTGAGTTTATTCTAAATTAGTCTTTTTATAATTCATCCTCAAAGGTAAAATGCATGCAGGATTTTAGATGAGTAAATGGAACAGCACATTGCAAGAAATGCTGCTCTAAAAGACAGTTGATCAGTTGCGTTTTGAAGCACTCCTGTGTTGTACGTTTTTGGCAGGTTGACATGAAAATACATAATGGTAATGAAACATGAAATTCTGTGAAATGTGCATTTAGAAAACATACCTTGAACAAATCAAATTGCAGCTTTTAAAGTGTAATATATATATATACACAGCACATTAGTTATGGGTATTTATAATGTGGCAAGAAATGTTAATGAAGAGCCTGTGTTCTGCAGAGTCAGGGGAAAATTGTATTTTATTGGTTTTTGGGTTTTGATGCTATCCGTCAGTATTAGAAGTAGAAAGGGATGTTACCCCAGTATCATACATGTTGCTCACTCATTCTAACATGTACAGTGTGCCCTTATGCATCCTTAATGCACCTTCCTGCATGCAATCAGCTACCTGACTGACATTTTCTTGGCTGTGTTAATAAAATTCTGTGGGTTATTAAAAGCCTAATAATGGTTTAGGGACTCTGATGAGAGCTGTTTTGTACTTCACAAGTGTTTTTGTTTTTTCTTCCCTCTATATTCATTTGCAGGCTGGACGGTTTACCACCAAACGTCTGAGAGAGTGACCTATAAATCTAGTAGCAAACCTCGTACCAGATTCCTCAGTGGACCTGTGTCTTTGTCCATCTGTTTGTATTTGTTCTTTTGTACTTTACTTCATTCCATTCCTTTTTCCTCTTCAGTTTTTTCCAGTTTTATATTTGGGCAGGCTGCCTGATTATTATTTTTTCCCCACAGCCAGCTTTTTGTTTTAACCTTCTCATTTTCTTACTTTGAAGCTCACTTATTCTTTCATTTGCCATACAAATGCTTTCGTGCACTGCTTTTGGCTCGCAACTGGATACCAAAAGCATATGTGGAAGAGCTCATCTTCTCTAAACAGGCGTTTGACATGGAATTTGATCCTGAGTGTACCAAAGCCTTTGTATTTTGTGTACTTTATGTTCGAGTAATACTTTGAGTTGCAATGTGGCAAATGTGCTGATCTGCAGCCCTTGTGTCAAAAAAGGGAAGAATCCAGGCCTTCCATTGAAGAATGGTCTCTTTCACACATGTTTGGACAATGAAGACATGCATGTAACAAGCTGATACAATACTAGGAGGTCACTGGGAATAACATCTCTATAAAAGGGCTGTATTTAAAATATTATTCTATTTAATTCTACTGTTTAATTTGTTGCCTTACTTGCATGATGAAAATGCTGATACAGAAGTGCTCCAGCTAGTATTTTTTAATTTCTTTATTATTTATGGCTTAATGGAGCATTTCCATAGAGTTTGTTTTACTTTTTAATCTTTTTTTATGTGAGCTTTAAGGGATCCTGCCCCCTTCTTATGCCAAGGTGACCATTCTTTCTTTTAATATGCAAATTCTGTGAAAAGTGATCTGGCTGGAGCACTAGTCAGTTTTTTTTGTTATCCAAAATGGCATCCTCAATAAACACATAGAACTTCATTGTTAGTATAATTAAGTAGATATGAGCACACTAGTATAGATCATGCTCTTGAAGGTCAATTGTATTGAAAATTGAGAATTGCATTTTGTTTTGGAAATTCTTAGGAATACTGTTCCTCTTTTGCTATACCTGACTATCTGTCAGTTTGCCTTTGTGTGCTTTGACTAAGCTCGCAGACCATTAATGATTTACAGGCAAACCCATTGTGAACATGTAAAGATATATTGGTCCGATAAGGTACCATAGTGGAGGTTTGTTCCCTTTGAGCTGCAGTTTTATTTTTTGCTTGAATATTGATGATCATGATTTATTGAATTGAAGTTAGAATTTCATTATTTTACAAATCAGTCTGAATAATGCATTTGCTGCTTAATTAAAAACAAAGACCGATTATGGCACAATTCTTTTGGAAGCTTTTGTTCTGTGGTCAGTGGAAAAATGCTATTTGTGTCATCTGACAGTCTCCTTATTTTCTGGAATACTATATAAAGAGACGCATTAATCCAAACACTAAAAATATATAGTTTTGTCAATGTTACAATTGTGTATAACACTGAAATTGTCAAATATTAGAAGTTATTGTTGAAATTGAAAGCATTACAGTAGTCTTGAAAGGGGTTTTCAGAAGGGGAGGAAGAAATTGCCAGTTTCCCTAGCTATTAAAGATACAGTACTTTCTACCCCATAGTTAACTGTTGTAGTTAGTTTCTTTCCTTTTTTGCATTTTAGAAATCTGTGGCTGTTTTTAGTGCACTTTTTTTCTTATGTAGACATTTAACACATTTTTAAATTAAATTGTTGTATTCTTTTATATTCTGTAATTTAACTGAAGTTTTTTTTTTTTGAAAATGAGATTTTCATCCTTTTTTTTTGCCTGTGGACTTTCGGAGCAATATATCTTTATGGAGCTACAGCTTCGGAATGTGGATTTTCATGGTTTCAAAATTCCTACCACATATGAAGGGCACAGACCTCTCCTTTTGTTCTAGGATGTCTGTCAGAATTTTATTTTTGGAATGAATGCACAAGTAGCAGGTCCAGCTTTTACCATCTAAATCACTGACTAAAACACCCTTTTCCCCCCTTTTCCTCTTTACACTTAATAATGGCTTTGTATTGCTTTGAAACAGCTTGTCCTCCAGATCTGTTGTGTTCAGTCTGTTAAGGCCTAACTGTCTTTGTCTTGTATTGTTTTACCTTGTAGGGTCTACCCTGAAACGACTATGTCTAGGCAAAGAGCGCAGTAGTAGTAACTATCCCATTTTCTTTCTTGGTCTTTTTCCACGTGGCATGAGCACACATTTTGCTTTGCACCAGAATCATGGCAGTTATTGAAGCAGTTCCTGTGAAATGTACTTGACCACAGGCTGCGTTTCATACGTGTCATAAGTGGGGGGTACTTTTTCGGTTTTGGTTTTAGTGCATGACCAGTTGACTGCTTTACAAGTAAACGTCCTGGAGTAGCGATGTTTGACTTTTTATTTTGTATCAGCATTAATTAGTTTGGCATTTTATTGGTGTTAATCATTTCAATGAACCGGGGCTGGAATGGAAGACCACTTCGCTGCTGGTTTCTTTGTAGGAAAGTCTGAAACCAAATTGTTTTCCAAATGTGTTAAGTGAAGTGTTGGAGGTTCAAAAGGGTTTTAATTAATGAATAAATGAACTAGATTTAATGCCTAAAATTTCTGTTGAATAAAACTGGCGTTTTCTGTTGCCTTTATCATGTATAGCACTAGCATTACCTCTTTGATTGTTTTCTCAGCCTGTGTCATATAGTGTTGGCAGATCCACCAATTTATATACAGTATACGTATATTCTAAGGAGAATCTCTACCCCCACAGAGTCTTATTCTAGTCCAAATGTGGTTTAGCTTGACACATTATTGCATTTAGCCCTTATTTACAATTTAAAAGAGCCTTGCCTTCCAACTAGCGTTTTTCTTAGCATTGGGAGTTTAAAATCTCCAGAGGACCACGTCATGGTTTCAGGTTTTGTAAAGTTATCGAAGCTGAATTGCTCCTAGTAACGTTTCTGTGGCCTTGGTTCGGTTTTGGTTAACCTCCCTGTTAAGTGCACTTTCAGACTTAGCTGTAGTTCTGTTGATCCAAGGGGTTAAACCAAGCAGCGAAGTGGTTCAGGGAGGTATAAGCGAAGTGCAGAATTCTAAGAGGCGCCTGTCTTCCAGGGTCGTCTAACGGTGGCAGCGCAGCTGCGGGGGCGCAGAATCCACAGCCGCAGGCCGTGCCAGCAGCCCCTCCGCAGCAGCTCGCCGGCCTGGCGCAGGCTCAGGCCAACAACAGCAACAACAAGAAGGGCACTTTCACGGACGACCTGCACAAGCTTGTGGATGACTGGACCAAGGAGACCATCGCGGCTGCCCACGCAAAGCCCTCCCTCAACCAGATCAAGCAGAAGAGACAGTGGCACGACATGGATCCGAAACCCAAGCCAGCTATACTGAATGAGGTGAAGGGAGAAGAGAGGGCATTGTTAGCCGAGGTTTAGCAATAAACCTGTGTAACATTAAAATTGACCAGCACCCCCTACTTAATGTAATTTCTGTATGAGTACGTTTTTTCAGGGATTGATAAGAGAATGTCATCGTGTTAATATTTTCTCTGCTGCATCAGCTGCTTAGTGGTATGTGTCTTTTAATTCACGGGAATCTATTTGGAAATCATACGAGTCATACATGTAGGTAGTTTGCAATGGAAATCCTTTGAAAAGTGATGTGCATGGCTGTAGAGTGTAAATTTATTGGGGAAATCGCAGTCTGCAGTAAAACTACATTCTTGACGATTTAATGGGTATAATATTTCATAACTGTTAAATGTTTAAAATCTGTGTCCTTCTCTCTGACAGGTGAAATATCCAAGTGTACCTGGGACAATGAAGTACCAGATCCCCCTTTCGTGCCCCATGACGGCTGCCCTGGCACCTGGAATTCAACCAGCCTTGAATGGCAATACAATTGCAGGGATAAAGCCTAACTATTTAATGCCAGCCTGCCAGTTTGGAGGAGTGATGCCAGCATCCATGTATGGAATACAGTGGCCCGGGATAGCTGGGCCAGTGGGTCAAGTTGGAGTACTAGGTGCCCCAGGGGTGGTAGCATTTCCTTCCATTGGCAATTCTGGTTTGCAAGTCTTTCCTGTGCCACTACAAAACCCCATTTTGAGCCCGCCGAGCCCCAACATGAGGACTACTTAGCTTCACTTTCTGTCATGGTCCATTGTTTCAAAAGCTTTACTCTGGAGTGTACTTGCTTATAGATAACACTTGTGCTGTTGGATATGGTTCTGCTGGCAACTGATGTAGGGCTGATTGAGCACATAGCCATACATTGCATCATGCAATCACTGTGAAACATTTTCACAAAGATTAAACGGTAGTTTGTTTTGGGCAATTGTAGCTTCTCAACTATTATTAAGACACTTTATTAATTATATGCTTGTATGTTAAAACACTAGCAACTGGAAAAAAAATGTATAGATGTTTTGAAGAACTTGAACTTATTCTTAGTTAATTACCCTGCAAGAGTATAGTGCCTTGAATCATGCTTTTCAGTTTCTGCTGGAAAGAGGTATGTAAATGTTTGAAAGATTTTTTTTAACTTTTTTTGACATTCTTTAGAAATAATTGGTTGTTTACATTTAAATGCCCTCTCAACACTGCACTATAAATGCTGTAGATGTGTTTATTTCGATGTGGGGGAACAAACAACACTTTTTTTTTTAACATTTCAGTTGCTGTCTCCACCTGAAACAGCAGACTTGCCTTTTGATTTCCCAGCAGGGATATGTGGTTATAAAATTTCAGAACATACACTTTCACCTGCTAGGTTGGTGCAACATCCTGCATGTTGTACTTAACAAATGTACAGTCAGAAATGATTTGAAGATAGTTATAAATTCTAGCTTTTTTTTTTATTAACAGTGTTCCTTATTCATGGGATCAAATTTTGCGGGCACAATTTAAAAGCTCAGTTCCAGATATCTGCAATGTTTTGAATGCTTTTTTTCTTTTTAATAAAAGTTATTTGCGCTATTGTTGAATCTACTGAATGTTGCAGTAATGTTCAGATATTATAGTGGCCTTTTGTTAAGCCTTAGTAAAAAAAATGGATATCTGGAGCTTCTTTCCACTCTAAGTTTAGAATTTGAAAACTGAGCAGTTGCATAAAATAAATGCATTTACAGCTATTACTTTAGGGCACTACTTTTGTTTCTTCATCACTATTTATTATTTTGGGAGCAGTGCAATCACTAGTTTTTGAACACAGTAGTTAACTGTATAAGTTATTTAGCTTTGGTTTAATGTACATTAAATTTTTCAATGCTGCTAGTTTGACTTCCATTTGTGTAGTTCCTCAATTAGCGAAGAATGCAAGGTGAAGGACACTGTCTGGCTGCAAACCCAATAACACATTTGCATGACTTCATGTACAAAAGGTCAGGAGGAAGCTAATTCAAAATACCAACTACTGGTATTGAACAAAAATTACACAATGTAACTTCATCAAAGCATTGGTAATATTTTTTTTGTAAATTTATAATGTGAAACAGTGTTATCACTATGTCAGAGCAAATGTGAATTGTGGTATTTTTCTGGGGCTCTTACCAATAAAGACAAACCTTTTTTTTCCTCTTCTTTCCAATTGTCCTCAAACATTTTATTCATTTGTCCTCTTAATGTGAATCTTAGGAATGATTTTTTTCTCATTTTAAAACGTTGTACAGTACTACATCTTTCTGTTAATGTTCTTTAAAGTGATTAGCTGATGTAAATGAATCGGCTAATCGTTAAACACTCTTTTGAAATAGTTCTTGATGGAGTTGGAAACTGGAGGCAAAACCACTACCATTTTTTTTCTGCTGATATAAAAGCCGTTTCACTTTATAGACAAAATGGCACAAGATCGTTAATGAACTGTACATGTGAAATCGATATTTTTGCTTTTACGATTTGTGTATTGAATCGAAAAAATACTCTACAAAAATATTGGCACAGGTTTAAAAATAACACTGTAGAAAGTAAAATGTTTAGGCACACTTCTTATTCTTTCATGCAGTGATGATTTTATACCACGTGCTGAAAGGCAGTGATGTCTTGTTCTGCCAAGCTGTGAATTGTATAGTTCTACTGTAATTATAAGTGTTCTCTATTTTTTTGTTCCTACCCTTTTAATATGTATTATTCCATCAATTCGGTTTGAATTGGATTTTTATAGAATATTATGCAGAATCTTCTGCCTTGGCAAATTTTCAGTAGTAAGAGATTTCTGTTCTCGTTTGGTTTCTTTATATTCATGTCAGTACGCTTCATGAGCAGACACAAGAACCTATTTTCAGAAACATTGATGCTTGCACTACAACTTGATGTCAGGTTTGCTATGGCCTGTTTAGTCCTCTTTCATGAACTGACTCAGTCAGTGGCACTAACTCACAAAGATTGTAAATGTTTAAAGAAAGAAATAAACATATTTTGTGCTTGACGAAGTTTGTCTTGTGTACTGTTTTTACCTTTTTATTTTTGCTTTGTTGTGGTTGATGGGGGAGATGCTGTGTTCTGCGTCCAGTTGAATGAGAGGAAAGTCACGTTTTCATTTTTACTTTATTATATATATATAGAATGTGTTGAAAGAGGGCAAACCACTCTTTTGAATTTTAACAATGTCCCCACAGTAGCAGGAGGATCTTTTTCTTTGACCTCGTAGTATTGTGACATAGTCAGCCATTGAATTAGGCTATATCACTACAATAGGATGCACTCAAACAGAGAATCAAGTTTACCTTCTAGTATGTTTTATTCCATAAATTTGCTTTTGTTGCAACTCCAATAAGGAAAAGAAAAAATATTGGTGATGTTAATGATAATTATTTTCATTAATATTTTATTTGGGGATTGCATAGTTTGTACTGCAGTGGGTTGTCTTTTTCAATTCACTTAAAGATAGTGCATATCAATGTGGTTTTCCTTTAAGCAATAAACATCTGACCAAACAGCAATAATAGAGGGAAATCGGACAAGACGGATTCCTTCTTATTGATGATTGATGACTTTGATTGTGTTCAAGGTAAGTTTAATTAGAACTTCTGCTTTATGCTAAACTTCCACTAGGTGGTACTGTATTATCCTGACTTGATTTTTTTTTCTTCTCCAGAGGTGAAAAAGACGCGGACAAAATTTCAAATTAAATTTTTTCACAATGTCACGCTACTTACATTAGAAAAGACTTTATTGATCCCAAAGTGAGATTGATTGTGTTATTCAATTCAATAATAATAGCACGTTGATACTAGTATTAGTTTAAACGTTAAATTAACTTGATACATTGTGTTTGGATAGGTCTGGAGAGCCGTGTACAGCATCGGTGTCAAACGTAATGTATAAGAGACAGCACTAGTAATTTTAAGGCACTTTCACATACTGTGTTTTGAAACTACAGGTCTACAGTACCAGAATCTAGTCGATGGCGTATCGCAAGGATTAGGGAGTAGTTAATGAAAAACCTTGTTAAAGGACAGAATTGGATTCAGAGAAGTTTAGTAATTAGACAATCTCGCCAAAGCCATACAAAATCTTCTAAAGTGACTTAACAGTATTCCAGTTCCCACAGACCTGTTTTGATCACCTTGCACGGGACTGGTGGTGAACAGCAGGATGACTATAAAAAGCGGGCGATTCCTTTTTTTTTTTTTTGCTTATGTCAGGGGAAAAAAAACCCACAATGTACAAAACACGAGCAGACGCGAAAGCCATCCGGCATCTCCAAAGAAGTTTTATTTCCCTCGGCCTCCTCCCCCCCCCCCCCAAAAAAAAAAAAAACAACAACCCAGAAATATTCATTATCTTTAGGAAAAAAACGCTGGAGCAGCAGCAATGCGTTTTACCCAGCTTTTTTTATTTTTTAAAATGGACTTTACCCAGCTTCTTTTATTTTACCCAGAATGGAATATCACACTATTTATGCATTATATTACTTACCGCATCCTAGAATTATACAGCGTGTGTGTGCACATATCATGTGTATATGGACATATATATATACAGTATAATGAGACCATTCTTCGCCCGGCTGGCGACTCCAGGGCGCAGCACACGCGCTCGGCACATCTGGGCTCTGCGCTGCCCCGGCGCGCTGGCCCCGCCCCCTGCGCACCGTACGTGCCCTGCGTCACTGAGGCTCTTTCTCCCCGCACTCCAGACACATCCAGAGACATGGCTCCGTGAGACAGCACATGGCGGCCAGCGGCCATGAACCAAAAAAAATAACTCACCAAAAAAAAACCAACAAAATTTAACAAATGCATCTGTAACAACCCGATTTGATTTTTTTTTTTTGCTTTCCCCACACAGGATTCTTTTTTTTTTTTCCTCCTCCTCTCTCTTCTCTCTTCCAAAAAAAAAAAAACAACAACAACCACAGCGGCAACGTTTTAATCCGTTCAGGAATAACGAGGGAATTTGTTTACTCATTTAAATTCCCCCCCCCCACCCCCCGTTTGGTGATTTTTTTTCTTTTTTTCTGACAAAAAGCAAAGAAACAAAACAAACAAACCGACCAACGAACCGGAGGACAAAACATCCCCACCGCTTTTTTTTTTTTCCTTCCAATTTTAAATCGATTTTGATTTTTTTTTTTTCCTCCTTTCCTCCCTACAGGCAGCCATTATGGGCGTGCAGGGTTTCCAAGAATATATCGAAAAGCACTGCCCGACCGCCGTGGTGCCGGTGGAGCTTCAGAAACTGGCTCGGGGTAGCCTGGTCGGCGGCGGCCGCCAGAGACCACCCCAGAGCCCCCTCCGGCTGCTGGTGGACGCCGAAAACTGCCTCCACCGACTTTACGGCGGCTTTTACACCGACTGGGTGAGCGGGGGGCAGTGGAATCACATGCTCGGCTACCTGGCCGCCCTGGCCAAGGCCTGCTTCAACGGCAACATCGAGCTGCTGGTGTGCTTCAATGGCGCCCTGGAGAAGGGCCGGCTTCACGAGTGGGTCAAGCGGCAGGTGAACGAGAGGCAGACGGCGCAGCAGATCGTCAGCCACGTCCAGAATAAGGGCACCCCGCCGCCCAAGGTCTGGTTCCTGCCGCCGGTGTGCATGGCCCACTGCATCCGGCTGGCACTGCTCCGGTTTCACATCGGGGTAAGTGGAAGGGGGGGGTCCCCGGCGGCCCCGAGTTTTAACGCGTTACGGCGGCGAGGGGGGGGGGTGGAGGGTCGTTTAAGACCGTCGTAGGGAAAAGAGTCGCCTGTCGGGCCTCCAAAGGCGAGGTCGGTGTATATATATATTAAAAAAAAAAAGAGTCCAAGGTGTCAGTCTGAAGTGTTCATCCGGACACGTATTTTTTTAAAAAAAACTCCCGATTCTGTTCTTGCCCCTGCCTGTGCATCTTATTAAAACTACCCCCCCTCCTCCTCCTCCTCCTCCCTTACCCACCCCGAGGGGCAAACAACAAGAGATAGCAGCGTCTTTCAGAGAAGTGAGGAAGACCAGATTGATCGCCCGACGGAAGGCATGCAGAGGCCGGTCGCTGGTTGGGGTTTTTTTTTTTCTTCCGCTCTTCGCTTTTATTGCTGATCGATATGATGAGGAAGGTCGTTGGTGACCCGGCCACGTCTTGACCTCTTACCCCCCTCCTCCCCAACCCCTGTATTGACAACATTGCGTGTGACGTCTTGGAGGAAGAGACATCTCTGAAAGGGTGCGATGAAGGACACCAGCTGTTTTCGCCACCCTTGACGACGTGTCTTCAGTGGTCATCCACCGTTTTCAGTATCCGGAAAAGTATAAAGATCATGCACGCTGCCTAGCCTTTTCAATCCTCCTCAGATAGAGTGAGCCTTCATATTTATACAGTTTGCATATCAGCCTTCATTGCACACGAGCAAAGACTACCTTTAATAACTGAGGCATCCCAAACCACGACAGAGCTGTAGTAACACAACAGGGTGCAAAGTGAATTTCCTATAACGTGGAAGCCTTGTGTGTTTGTACTGTCAGAGATGAATGAACTTCTGCAGCCTCGTGTATAGGTTCACTAAAACACTGTTTCGTGTCTACCTTGCTCACAAAGTTCGGGAAAAGCTCTTCACGGGAAGATGATAAAAACTAGTATTTAAATAACTACAAAATATTTCTCTGCTGTATGTTCCTGAACTGTAATATCTGTATGGTCTGACAGCGTTGTTGCTTGTAGCTTGCCTTTAAAAATAGCTCCCATCCATTTCTCTTGCTCTGAAAGTTGTAATTCTATTATGCCAGATTGGATGGCATAGCTATCAGAATATTTTTGAGTTTTAAGCCCTTTTCCAGGGTTTTACTAAGACTTTGACTAGTGGGTTTCTGCACACCTATTCTTCTCGAAACAGCCCCCTTCCCTGAGCCAGTTGACGTGTTTGTACAGCAGATTTGTTTAGCATTACACCCAGGCAGAGTTTAAATCCCAGTGCTCTGAGCTAAATGTATATTTCAGAGATGGATGTGATAATCACGTTCAGAAGCTTGGCAAAGGGAAAGGGATCATTGTAGGTGCCGTTCATTCGTACAGAATAATTTATTGACCTGCTGTCAGCGTGCCAGTTACGTGTGCAGTCCAAAACATGCCGGTTTGAGAAGCTTTCAAGTCACCTTTTTATGATCGGGGAGGACTGCAGAAAAATCTGGTATGATGCTGGAAGTCCCACCTTCTGCCTACTCCAATAGGCTGTTCATGGGATGCCTTGGGTATAGTTATGCTGGAAGCGCAGTCTGCCGATTGGCTCCGTGCTGTTTTTACACGTCACTTCTGCTGTTAAGTATAGCAGGCAGGCCTAGAATGGGCATGCAGGCCTCACTTCGGAATGGAGAAACTGTTACAGTTTCTGAAAAAACGATTCATGAATTGCCTGACCCACTTTGTGGCTGAACAATGTGCAGCTTTTAAAAATAGATCGTCTAGGGTATTGTCATGAAAAGGCTGTGGAGAAGCTACAGACCTTCTCCGATCAGCCGTTTGCTCTGATCATTATTCAGATTTGTTTTGATCAAGGGTCTGTGTAATTTTTCGCACACTGGAAGAAGGCTCCAGCCAAAACGTTTTTGTTTTTGCTTTTAAAAGCATGCCCTCCCTCTGTTCATGTCTGCTTTTATTCTCTTGATGTACAAGTGTAAGCGTAGTGATCTACTGAAGGAGAAGTTGCAATACAAAAAATATTGGAAGTATTAATTCAGCCATGATCAGGTTTAAATTAAGTAGGTCAATATTTTCTAAAAACGTCCTAATCGCTGAATTTAACCCGATTTCCTTTATCTTGGATCATCTTACAATCCACCTAGCATTTACATGACTTCAGTTCTCAAAACACAACTTGGTCTTTTCACTACATTTAAAGGATAACAGTTTTGGCTGTCTTTTTTTTTTCTTGTAGAATACCTGAGGTGGAGTTACACTTAACTGTAGCAACCTTTGCTTCTCCTGTTAGCCAGCTACCAAGAAACATATATGTGCTTAAGAGTTTTAACACCAGTATATATTAAGCTCCAATTACACCTAGGCAGGTCAATTCGGCCCTGCTAAACTCTCGGATTGCAAGCATGTAGAAGTCAGTCCGGGTGTTCTTAATGAATCCTCCCAATCTGTTATTTCATTAATTGTTTTTAACAGTAGAGCTTGTTGTCTGGAGCTCGCAGCCTGGTGTGTCGTATTTGTTAGTCGTTTCACCTTGATTTCTCTCTTAATATTGCAGGTTGCCCAGAGTATTGAGGATCACCATCAGGAAGTGATTGCATTATGCCGGGAGAACGGTTTCCATGGTTTGGTGGCGTACGACTCCGATTACGCCTTGTGTAACATCCCCTACTACTTCAGTGCCCATGCCCTGAAACTGAGCAGGAATGGGAAGAGCCTCACCACCAGCCAGTATCTGATGCACGAAGTTGCCAAGCAGCTCGACCTGCATCCAAATCGCTTTGTAATCTTCGCCGCACTGTTAGGTGGGTGACTAATTCCTTCTTCGATATCGTTTTCCAGTGCAAGAAAGCATGCCATCAGCTAGAACATGGAGTTTTAGCTGGTTGCTGTTTTGATTAAGCCATGTATGAAGGCGTTCATTTGCGTATCTGGCCTATTGTACTAGTGCTAAGGAAAGACGAGTTAATTCTGAGGCCTCTCCTTGTTACTTTCACACTAAATATGTTTGTTGGAAAATAGTTTGTTGGCCTAGCAGCCTCATTGTTTCGCCTGGTTTCCTTTTCTATGAATACCTTTATTATTCTGTAGCAGCATTCGAAACGCTTTTTATTATGGAAGGAGACACCAAAAGGGCTCCAGATTCAGAATATTAGTTCCTCAATGTGTGACACTAATATCCCCTTGGTGTTGGTGTTTGATGTTGGCATGGCAAGGGGCACTTTTAAGCTGTTTTACTGAAGGATATTTGTACACTAGTGGCATTGTTCTGTGCCCTCATTCAGTGTTTTGTGCCCATTTTCTTCTGTCTTTATATTTGTTCTTGAATACTTTCCTCTGTTTGTTCTTGCTTCAAAGAGAAAATCGGATCAGTTTTCTTCCACCAGGTGAAGCGTGTTGAGATCGGATGGTACATTACAGTGCTGATAGCAGTCAAACTAAGAACAAGAATTTTTTTAAGAAGCCATGAAACTAACAGCTCCATAGTCCTGAAGTTATTCAAAAATTAGTAAAAGGTTATAAATGTAGCACACACCAGAACATCCTAATATCTGTTCAACACTCCCCATGATTTTATTTTTGGTGCTTTTGAGCCTCACCAAAAATCCTGTTTTTTACAGATATAATTAAAGATCCTCCATGTAGAAAGCTTTGGAGATTGATGATGTGATCACCTAACTGTCCAGGCTTTATCACATTTAAAAGTTAACAGATTTGGTTACTATCAAACAATGTAATTTATTTTTAGTGATATAACAGGTGTACTAAAGGCTATAAAGATAAAAATATCTGAAAGACTTTGAAAGAGGACACAATCTTGGTTAAATATCACACGGATTTTGTAACTTAAGGCTATTAAAGGCACAACTCTTGACTGGATTAGCAGGTTTTAACCTGATCTTTGTACCTTAAATTCATTTTATAGTCGAATCTGTTAGTAGAGAGGGAGGAAAAAAAGTAGACTGCAGATTCAGTAATTAAAACATTATTTCTAGTTATTATGGGGATTTGTGGATTTTGCTGAAGCCTTTATGTGTGAGCCAGCAATTTCATATTTGAGTGGATGGTATGCATTCTAGCTTATTGCCGGTTTAATATTTCTAGGATTTATTTTTCAAGTTTGAACTTCAATCGACATATTACTAAAGAACACCAGTCACTCTGGGTCTCAAAAAAAATTGCCATGATTTGTTTGCTCGGTTGTTCTCATGTTCATCTGGCTGTCTCAGACACTGGTGTGTGTAAATTGTATTTTGTTTAGCGCTAAACCCATTTTTCTACATTTGCATTTAACTTAAGAGTAAATAGAATACTCTTTCTTTGTCTTGGACTTAATTTTGTAGCAGAGTATTCAATAGAAAGGTTATTGGGAACAATTTTCATCACATAAATGTGAATCCTTATTTTTTTACCTCTTGGTTGAATTTGGCTCCACCTGTTATGACATTGCATATTGATTTTTCTTCTCCCATGTGATCTACTACTGCTAACGTTAATCATAGCCCGAAAGGAAAGATCCACAGTGTCCATAAGGGCTGTGATGGTATAAAATAACAGCACTGTTAGGATCATGACATTAATCCAGTCAAGCTTTATTATAGTAATTAAACAAAATCAGCCACAACTGCTAGAAAATCAGTTTTTTTTTTGCATATTTGTTGTTTAAAAGCTAGAGAACAAAAAAATACTTTTTTTTTACATTGTATAAGAAACTATTTTCTTTTCAGCCGAGCTCCATTGAGTGTTTATTTTGAAATTTCATCTTGTAAGAGCAATTCATTTTTTCAGTAGTCAGAAACGGAAGAGGAATACAAATGTGTGTACACCTGTATTGGAAATCTGGTTTTAAGGTGTAACGTTGTATCAAAGGATTTAAGGCCAGGAATAGAGCCTTGTGTTGGCTTAAAGTTGTGATCTGTCACTTTTCAAATTGCATTAAGTGTCATCTTAAGGACGGGAATAGAAACAGGATTTTCATTTGTGTAGCAGTTCTGCATCTCAATTTAATTTTCAAAGCAATAAGTTAGGTTTGTGTAGCAAATTAACTATTGTCATTGAAGTCCTTTGTATGATGAAAATTATCAGACATTTGAACAGAAATTAAGTATTAAGCCATAGAAAAGTCTGGATGCATACTTTGGTTTGGTTAAAAATATTGAATCCAAAAAAGACTTGCTTGCTTTACATTAAGGTAAAATGATTTGTGAAATTGTGAGCTTGTAACAAATATTTGTAGCCTGTAATTCCAGTTGAATTTCAGGTTGTGGCGGTTTTACATTGTTGATATTAAACAGTGCTTAGCAATTACTCCTTTGGGCAAGCAGGCATTTGTAAGATTTAGCATTGTCTGCAGAACCTAACGACTTCCGAAACGGAGCCTTGCCAATATGGATTGGTATTACCAGTTGAATTCAAATATTGACGCTACACTCCTCAGATCGGTGTATTTTCTTCAGAATTCAGTGGTTTGAAGGAAGAAAATGGTATCCCTAAATTTAAAGGCCACACTCCTGCATCACTGCTTTGTGGTATCCCGTCTTGAATGGCAATGTGATAATACTGTTTGTCTCCTTCCCTGAAGAATTACACTATCCAAGCACAGAAGACTTTTAGAAGCGGTATTCAAAATGCTTATCACATTTTTAGTTGTGCAAACCTGAATAAAAACATTAAAAGTTTGTACACTTTCCACTGATGGTTAAGGAAACTATCCCAAATTTATTATGTGAGGGTTGTTTCCATGCTTCAAAGTGTATATATATATATAAAAGTTTTTCTTTCCTTCTCATCATGGAATTGAGCTTAACCTCTTCCTATGCATCTCGCTGACGCAGATGCCCACTCATAATGAAAAATGGAAAAGCAACAAATCGCTACCAATGATCAAAAGAAGCAACTTTCGCAATACGGCACCCAACAATTCATTGTAACAATTCAGGTAATAGTGAATTGGTGCAATTGAGCAAAAGTCAAAAGATCATGTTTCAAAGTTTTTTTTTCCCCTGTTTGAATTGGTTTTTGTAACCAGAGTTGTGTTAATAAAGCAGTCTGGGACGTGGAAGACTGGCGGGCATGTTTCAGCGTATTGCATTTGCAGTTGTGGTTTGTGTCATGGGTTCTTTATTGTGGCAAGCGCTGTAGATGTTTTAATGTGTACAGAGATATGGGGGAAGTGGGGTTTCAGGTAAATGTCAGATGTTCACAGCTTTCTCACAGCGGGTTGAGTGGATGTAGCGTTGTTCTTTTCCGTTTGTCTTCCACTTTAAAGACGTTCTAAACTGGTCTCGTTCATGGTAATGTGGCAGTGTTTGTCGACTCGTACGGAGCTCTGAAATAACCATTCACCAAAATGCTTATCTTTACACCCTGTACACATTTTGCCATGTTTCTAGAGGAGGAATGGGAAAATGCCAAATCATGCCTTTATATCATATTGAAAACTGAGCGCTTCTTTCTTTGCCTGTAGGTAATCACATTCTGCCTGATGAAGATTTAGCTGCCTTTCACTGGAGTTTACTTGGTCCTGAGCATCCTTTAGCATCATTAAAGGTAATGTGGCAACTTGCAGACTGAAAATGCTGTAATGCAGAAAACACATTTTAATACGGTTGGGTTTTTTTCAAATTGTTTCCAACAGCTGAAATGACAATTTTTTGTCAGCTTAAGCCTTGCTAACAAGCAGGAGATTAAACGAATGTTAAATTTCATTAACAGGTGCAGGTTTTCAGTAACTACAGCCTAGGGGTTACAAACTAATTCAAGACCAAGCAGATTGCAGTGCTGTCTCACCTCGGTTCCTTCCTGACAAGACTTTCAGGGTGATCAAATATTCATACAACAGCAGGCTGTGAGTCTATTAGCCTGCCGTTTTGAAACAGTCTGTCATTTAACTGTGAAGGATAGTTCTTGTAACACGAAGGTACATGCTGTGATTTGTGTCTCTATTAAAAAAGTTTTCAAAACCTGGATGGAGGGATTATCGAAGAAATATATGCATTTCGTGGAGCGTTGGTATATTTCTCCTTCTGAAATTAAAACTCGGTAGGTTTGCATTTTTTTGGAGTGTCAAGTTAGATTTGACCATTCCTTCCTGGTCAGGAGCTGATGGGAGGGTCTTTACAGTACATGAAACCTTTCTGTTTCTACTCAGTTCATTGTCTGATCGCAGTGGACATTGTTACCCTGCCAACCTGGAATAAAGAGAGACTTTATCATCACTGTGTGGAATGGTTGGAGACAATCTATCCTTTGTTGTAGCTAGGAAATGTAATATGGTCGAAAAAATGCAAGATGCTGAAGTAACGTCAGAAATGACTTCACCTGGAAATACATTGCAGCAGCCTGTTGCGCAACATTATTACTCGACAGATGGTTTTGTTTGTTGAGGAGCTTTGGTGGTTAGTGAGTCTGCATTTTTCTCTGTGTGGAGGGGCGGCATTTGTGGTTTGTGCCCTTGTGTAAGAGAGAGATTTATCCAGTATCCATTAGAAAATGGTGAAGTGCCCCCAGGGTGGTTAAGCGAAGGGCAGCACGTTTTAGGCTAGGATTAGGAAAAGTCCTCCTTCCCGTTGAAACGGTGACCTCCTGTGACTTCCTGGGCATCGCACACATTGCATTTAATGGGAATTTTGAGCAGGTATTCTGGTATTGTATTTCTGTAATCGGGTCTTTGAATATTTAACCACTAATAAGAATAACATGCCTTAAGTGCATTAGCAGTAATTGATCTTCTAATATTACATTTTATCAGAAATCAGAAAACAAGTAGTAGTTTTATTAATACATTTTTGGTGAAAACTGTACTTGAGCCTTCACAGCTGTACTGCTCTAAAGCATTGGTTTAATAATCCAGCTCCCTAATCCATTTTAAGAGCAAAGATACCTATGTTAAATAATTCCAGGAGATGAATCCCTCTTTATTTTGTCCAGTTTGGATTAAAATCCAAGGTTTGTGTGAAATCTTTATCTGTAGAAGCAGCTAGCTTCTCAAAGTGATATTCCTTTTGCTTTTTACCTCTTGTACTGTCCCACCTGAAAAGTTTCAGATGTAGTCTACTTCAGACTAGTTGTTTTGTGACAGGTAACTGTTTCTGCAGAGGCAGCACTGGTTATAGGGCTTGTTCACCTGCTCTGTTATTTTTCTTTGATGACTCCATCGTTTTTACAGCAGTGTTCAAATGCTTTGTCTGCTTTTTTTTCCAGCGGGTTAAATCATATTCCTTTGTTACATCAACTGCCGTTGGAGTGCAACTCTGCACCTGGCTGTTCTAAATGTTCTAAATTTTAAGGAATGAACTATGTGAATTTAAAGTGTTGACCAAAATTTAGAACTATTAAATTCATGTTTCCAGAAAATAACTTTTGGCTTCTGCACTTTGTGACAGGTACGTGCACACCAGCTAGTCCTGCCTCCTTGTGATGTGGTTATTAAGGCAGTAGCCGATTATGTCCGCAACATTAATGATGTCAATGATTTGGAAGTCATCGCCAAAGACATCTTCAAACACTCGCAGGTAAGGCTTTTCGAAAAGGTGCAAAGGTTAACATTTTATTCTGGGAAAGTTATCATGGGTCTTTCTCCTACACTAGTATTTTGAAGCTACTTGGTTTGAGCCTTGTTAAGCCTTTTGTACTTTTTTTGTGCAGAACACATTTTATTTTTTACCTAGTGATATATTAACAGCTCCAAGAAAACTTTTTTGGAGTAAAACTTGTAATCTAGTATATAATGAATAGTCAGAAACAAGAGGATGCCATTAGACCCATTAAGCTTGTTTTGGTAGTTAGCAGCTTATTGATCCATGTATCGCACCCTGGTTTCTTTCAGGGAATAGCTGGATATGAGCTTCAAACATATGACTGGGTCTGTGTTTCCTTACCCCCCGGAAACCAAAGGCTTTGAAACACTCTTGTGTGGTTCAGTAAAATGTCACACAGGGCATTTCTGAAGCTATTCTGCCATTATCTGTGGCACTGTTCCCAAAACATGGGAATTTCAGTAATGCAGTCTTGGTCATGACAAATCTAAAATTAGAAGACCTTTATCTTCAACTTTGTAAATGACTTTCTCTTCTGTGTTTTCGTCCCTTTGTTTGCCACCGGTAGTACTGTTCTCAAATTAAGAAGTTGATGGAAAGATAGACCAAGCTGTAATTTTATCAGTGAAAATCAGTGATATGGCGATGTGTAACAAGGGGCATAAAGTAACTTCATTGCAGTGATATGATGCTTTAACTGCTTTTTCATGATTCAGATGTTTTTACTCATTTTTTGGGGGGGATGAAGTTACTTGCTTTTGCCAAGTGGTTGGAGGTTTGTATTTTAACAGGCTTATTTTGTATTCCAGTCCAGAACTGATGACAAAGTTATCCGATTTAAGAAGGCGGTTGAGTACTACTCTGCCGCCAGCAAACCCCTACAGTTCTCTCCTTATTTAGGTAAGTTTGAAGCACGAGGTTGTTAACCGTACATAATGTTGGTGATTTAACACTATCCCTTCACCTGATATATGACTGGTTTAAAATACTCAAGGACAGCAACCAGGGCTGTGATTTGTTTTAAAGTTGTAGGTAATAAGAGCAGATGTATTCTAAGACATGGTTTGCTCCTTAGCTGTCGAGGCCACGGTTCTGATTTACCGCTTATCGTGGCAGAGCATGGCAGTCAGACCTGTTTCCCACTATTCTACTAATTATAACCTTAAATTTGCCTGCTGGTTACCTCTGTCTTAACAGGGCTTTCTGTAATCAGTCTTCGTAGCAGTTTTCCTGGTTTCCATGGCATCCCCAAGTGCTCGTTTGCTTTTTGTGTAAGAGTTAGAAGTGCCTGTTAAACAAGGAAGGCGATGAAAGCAGGGATCTCTCCGTTTCATCCTCTTTTTCTTTTTTTTTTATTCCGGCTGAAAATGAAAACCTTTCTGTACGTTTTGCGCATTTTTAAGATGAGCAAAGCGAGTTTTTAGCTTGTAGGACCCAGCCCCCCTTTCAGAGCGATGTGTGAAATGTTCTGAGTTGCCCCGAGACTTTCTGTGCAATTTGGAATGGCTGGTATGTGCTGTGCATACAAATAGGCTTCTTTAGAAAGGACTCTTACACAGCCTGCATGTTCCTCAGATTGAAGTTGAGAAAAACTCCCCAGTGTAATCATTACATCAACAGCAGAGTGCTTTTTCAAAAGAACTTCTTGTTAAGAAGGAAAAAAAAAATGGAACATTGGATAATGACTCTAGCTGGATTTATAGGGAAGTCCCAGTCCCCAAACCCCTACCTCCTGATTTTTATTTTAGACCAACTGCATGCTGCTTTTAAGTAATGTGTACTTGGCAACAAGAAGATTCTTAGTTTTCCTGACACTTAGTCCAACTATTTGCGGAAGAAAAGACTCCATTCTGAAACAGAACGTGGAATTTCAAATTATTTTAGAACTTAAGTATTTGCTCTTAATTACAGTTTGGTATGTCATTTTTCCCCCCCCCGTGTTAATTGATCAGGGAGTCTTTAATACAGGATCACATTCAGGACACCAGCAAAGATTCCAGACTGTATGGTTCTGAGAGCATGGAGTGTTTCAAGCTGTGCTGGTGGGCGTTCCTCTTGAGTACGGAAAGAAGGCGCTCAGTTATTAAGTTTTCTGTTTTTCTGTACAGTCAGACCAAATCAGTTTGGAGTGCCTGCTGCCATGCCACCATATGTACCTCCTCAGATGTTTAACATTCCACAGACGGCTCTTCCTGCAAAGCCTGGAGTAAGTACTCGAGGTGCCTCGCCGCAGATACGGCAATAAATCTCTGGAACGTGATGAACAGTTACAATCTCCGGGGTGGATGCTTTGGGGGGCAGCCGAATTTAAGTTGGAGGGAAGCCGTTATTCGGCGCGGATCAGAGAACTCATTTTATCATAAAAAAAATCTTTAAATGCGACAACTTTCTGTGGTGGGTTGTGGGTATATTTAGAACTAGTGTTTCAGTGGTGTCTGGTCATAGCCCTGGAAAGCCACAGTCCAGCAGGTCTGTGTCCCGGTAGCTCACCCTTTATTCATCCATTTGTGAGGACTTGGATTATGTCATTGCTTTGGTGAGTTTGTCCACTTGGGTCCATGTTTGTCCAGCTGATTTTTGAGTGCTGCAGGGCTGGTGTTTCCAATTCCAGTAATCTCTGAGATGCTTTATTGAACAATTCATCTGTTCAAGTGCTCAGAATGTAAGTGTTTAGAAATGTATGTTTTTTAAACTTGTAAATGTGTGTAGCTCTCCAGGACCAAGGGTGGATACCCTTGATGTTGAAATCGGATTTTTTTCCCCCCACTGACATTTAAAATAACATGTTTGTCGGAGTTTATTCTGGCATTATAACCGAAAAAAACATCACTGTGTAATAAGTTTTGCAGACAACATCACTTGTCGGTTCAAGGCTTCTGTGTCGAACTGTAGATGTCTGATAAACTGGTCTTTGCATTTACTGTAGTCCAGATTTTCCCCAACGTTTTTCCAGTTTTGTCAAGTTTCGTTTTTATCCACTTGCCTCTCCTCGTACGTGGACATCAAAAACAGTGTGGTCAGCTTCCCTGTGCTCCTGATCTCGCAGGTCCAGCAGCTGCCGGGCCAGAATGCCTATCAGTCCTCGCTTGCAGAGCCTGGCCTCAACCTGGACTCTCCAATGGGGAAAGGTCTACCCGAGCAAAACAGCTTCAGCAACATTCCTCATGAAGGGAAACATACTCCGCTGTATGAGAGGTCTTCTCCCATCAACCCTGCCCAGGGCACCAGTCCGAACCACGTGGAGCCTGCCTGTTTTAACACCTCTTCCACGTCCTCCTCTTCAGAAAACGACGAAAACAGCGGCACCACTGCCAAGTAAGCGGATCGCCGTTTTTTTGTTTAAATTCTTTGCTTGTGCGCACCGTTTTTAATGGCAGCTCCACAGCACTGGTGGCATATTCCTCCTCCCCCTCTCTTATCCCGTGCCCTCCTGTATTATTTTGCAACAGGGCAGCCTGGTTGCAAAATAAAGTGATGAGAGAAAGCGGCAAGTGGGCAATGGATTCCATCTGAAAAGTGAAGAAGCGCTGTCGCAAGTGCCGTGCCACAGATTAGCTAACCTGGTTCATGGCTTCCTTCCTGGCACGCTGCCAGAGCAAGCTAGTTTTCACTGGGCTTTGCCAGCTCTTTGTGTTTCTTGTCATTTTTTAGTTTCTCTGTTTTCGTGCTGACAAATTTCAAGGCTGTGTACATGCAGCAAAAAAACAAACAAACATCCTGTGACCTAATGCATTTCTGCCTTGGCAGAAAACATCCAGGATTCTTCAAGACAACTGAATGCATGTAGACCTGCCCTGTTTTACCCCTTACTTGATGTTGCAGAGCCCCAGTGTCTTGTTATGCTGTTGTTACAGTTAACACACCATCATTCATTCCCTAAACACTGGAAGCATTTATGGGCTGCCCTGAGATTTTTCTAAATCTGAAAACGTATAAGAATTTTATTGTGCACACGCTGTGGTGATTACAAAAGCTTCTGTGTTCGTTTCCATCAGTGTTCTGTGTTTTAAGAAGGTGGGGAAAAATCGTGTTTACAGAGTAATACATTGTCAATGAATTATAAATGACTTGTATTTTTTAGCCATATAAGTGACCATAAGGGAGGATGGGAAAAACAAGGAAGTCAGTCGGAAAGTATACCAGCGAGAGACCTGGGAGACCAAGCAAAGGTATTGTTTTTTTTTTTTAAAAAAAAGGAAGAGGTTGCAATTTTGCTGTCTTTAAAAAAATAAGTTTCCACATGCTTTCCGTTTAACAAGGATTCTGTGCTATGTTTTTTCTTTTAAGGCCGAAGATTCGTCTGTGTCATCTGCAGGCCAGGGAGGCGAAGGCAGAGGAAGTCATGGTGGAAATTCCCAGATCCCCTCTCTCCTGTCAATGCCAACCAGGAACCACATGGACATTACAACCCCTCCTTTGCCAGTGGTGGCCCCAGAGGTCCTGCGTGTGGCTGAACACAGACACAGGAAGGGCCTGATGTACCCCTATATCTACCACGTCCTTACAAAGGTTGGGGAAGTAAAGGCATCTTCCCAGAGAAGCATGTGCTCCATATTCTTTGGACTTGCCCTATGGCTGTTAGCTCACTGTGAAGGGAAATGTATCAACAGATTGAGTTGCATGCTGAACAGATAAATTGAAGTGTTTCTTTGGGTTGACTTGAGCAATTAAGGAAGCTGAAAAGGCATCACGAAAAAAACATATATCGAATTTTCCCACCCACCTGACCATATAGTTGTTTTCCTCCCCAAAAAAAGTATATGTAATTAAGAGCTTAAGCCACCATTTGAAGTGCAGTACTTCAGATCTGAGCACAGATATTTTTGTTGTTTACATTTTTTGTTGTTTACATTGCAGGGTGAGATAAAAATACCCATCACCATCGAGGACGAAGCCAATAAAGACCTGCCTTCGGCTGTTCAGCTGTACAGGCCTATCCGACAGTATGTTTACGGTGTTTTATTCAGCCTGGCTGAGGCCAAGAAGAAAGCTGAGAGACTTGCTCTGAGGCGGAACAGACTTCCGGAGTGTAAGTGGGCTTCCTCATGGAACAATAATCTAGGAGTGAACGTCTTGTAGCCCTAAAAACCAAGAGATTACATGTGGGTTTAGTCGGAATAAGTTCAGTGCCCTGCAAACCTTAGACCTTATTCCCACCGAGGGCAAATAACCAGGCGATCTACACGGGCTTTTCAGGAGCTGAGGGAGATCTGTGTGATACGTCTGGGTTTTCCTACGAAAACCAGTGTTATGGAGCTTCTGTCTGAGGCCAAAGAAACTGAACTTGGAAGACTTTCCAGCTCTTAGATTACACAGGTGTCAAGCTAAGTATGTGAACAAGGCATTGTGCATGCAATTATATTATTAAGCATTATTTAGCACAGGTGCATGCTTCATAAACTGGGCTTGAAATAGGATGGGAGAATGTGCTTGGTTTGTTCTTGGGAGTCACATATGCATGATTTTCTTTAAACATTCCCCAATCTTTGACATTAGATCCCGCAGTTATCATAAAGGAATGGGCTGCATACAAAGGCAAGTCTCCCCACACCCCAGAACTTGTGGAGGCTCTGCCTTTCCGGGAGTGGACCTGTCCCAACCTGAAGAAGCTGTGGCTGGGGAAGGCGGTGGAGGACAAAAACAGGAGGATGAGGGCTTTCCTGGCCTGCATGAGATCTGATACTCCAGCCATGTTGAATCCAGCCAATGTCCCCACTCCTCTCATGGTGCTGTGCTGCGTGTTGCGGTAAGCGATTTTGAGAAGTGTCTTTCTTCCCCCTTTTTTTTGGCTGTAAAACGAGCCAAAGGCTTTCAGACAGGACTGTGCAGAAAGATTGGCGGAGATGAATATAATTGCATGTATATTTGTCTCCTGCTTTCAAAGCCCATTATGGGTTGCATCATGTGCCTTAACATCCCAATCTTGTACTGTAAGTTTTTCTCTCTTGCACGTTGACAGTATTTTCTATTGGACAGGCTAGTGATAAACTGGAGTACACTTTTTAACACTCAAGGAAAGAGTAAATGCTCTCTTGGAGGGAATATAGGTTTATTCCTCAAAAATGTAAAAAAACAACTTTGTGTAATTTTGTAGGTGGTAATGAAATAAGTTTTGTTTCAATACATTCTTAATTTTAAAATACTGTACATAAGAATACGTGATGAATGGCACAGATGGCAGGTGGTCGATATAGAAATACAATTATTTGAATTATTTTAGTCATTCATAAACCAGCAGCAAATACCTGACATAGTATTACTTGATTTGCCGCCAAAAAGCACCCTAAAAACTCTTAGCTATCAAAATAAAGTTCGAGTTCCCATATATGTTTTATTCCAGGTTTATGCTACAATGGCCAGGAGTACGAATTTTGCGTCGCAATGAACTTGACGCATTCTTAGCCCAAGCACTTTCTCCTAAACTATATGAACCTGACCAGCTGCAGGAACTTAAGGTGAGTTTGGATTATTTTTGATGCCTTAGCTGGTTAAAGAACTGTACTCTTCTCTTGAATTTTCTTCAGTCCCTACCTGGCAACCGAAGGGGTAAACTTGTATAGGAGCAGGTAGGGAGTGAATTCTTTGCTGACAAGTTAAAAAAAAGAAACATATCTGGGGAGCCTTATTGAGGGTTTCTTCAGATCCACAGACCCAAAGAGGCTCCCCAACTGAAAGCTGTTTTTTTTGTACACTTTTCAGAGTGCAGCTCACTCCTGCTTGTTCCTTTTTACTTCTCCACTCAGTCCTCATTAAATCTGTATCTGCAGGTTACCTTAAATTACTGTTAATGTAAATGCTTATGTATTTGTTTTTACCTTGGCTAGAGGGCGGATATAATATCCCTTTTGTTTTGTGTAATTAAAATTCAGGTCTGACATCTGGGTGTCCTTGTCACTAATTGGTGTCCTTCCCCCTCCCAGATTGACAGCCTTGATCCTCGAGGTGTCCAGCTGGCCGCTCTGTTTATGAGCGGTGTAGATATGGCTCTTTTTGCCAACGACGTCTGTGGGCAGCCAGTCCCCTGGGAGCACTGCTGTCCCTGGATGTACTTTGACGGCAAACTTCTCCAAAGTAAACTCATCAGAGCCAACAGGGACAAAGCTCCGTTAATTGACCTCTGTGATGGTCAGGTACGTGATCCAGATCTTTTTGCCTGTAGAGAGTTCTTGCATCCCTTCATATAAGTTTCACAGTTACGTTATGCCATATCATTGTCCTCATAAGGTAAAGTTTGTATCAAATAATTAAAGTCTAGTTTTAGGTTGTGAAAGGTTCACACACAAAGCATGCTGTAGAGGGTACCAGGTTGCATTTTGCAACCTTTTAGTGATAGGTTTTTGATGCAAGTGTCTTGTGCATTTGAGAGTTGCTGGTACAGCTTAACTTTGTCCGGAGTTTTGCTGATATCGTCTTCCTTACATGTCTTTTGGCACGTGAAATATTGGAGATCCCTAAAGACAAAGGTGTTTGTTTTGCAATCTGTTTCATTTTGTGCAAAGTGAGGCTTGAGCATTGAAAGGTTTGGCGTTCTGGTTGGGCACCCGAGTGTGGGCTGCGCTCTGATCCCCGGGTTAAGGTTTGGAACCTGTCACTGGCCGACTGTGGCCCGGATTCTCCGAGCAGTGGTGCACAGTTGGCCGAGTTTCCCTGTAGAGAGGGGTTGGGATTAGTCGCCAGGGCTCTCTCAGCTCCTGGCAACAGGCAGCTCGCTGTGGGGTCAGTGAGGGACAGGCCCCTCCTCTGTTCAGCGGTAAACGTGCTGTACGAGGCCGCGCTGCCTGTGATGGGTTTAAAACCGCGTAGCTGAAAGGTGAGCACGTTGGAGGGGTCTCCCTGCAGTTCTGCATTCTCAGACATGCTATTCAGACATGCCGCACCATGAAAAGGGGAATTTGGTGATCACAAATCGAGTGAGTGTAGTAAAGGATTGGCCATTCTAGATTAAAAAAAGCCATTTTCTTGATTTATTTGTTTTTAATCCTGTTTTACGAGCAGATGAAGAATGCCACATATTTTGTTACCTTTCAGATGTCAGGTTTTCTTTTGCTGGGCACAAGGAAATAGCTCAGTTTGTCCAGGACATTTGAATGTGTTTTTAATAACATTCTCGTGTTTGCGTCGGAACCTGTTTCATTTCGGCTCGGCGTCCACGGTTCCGATTTGTGCACATTAAATTGTAGAGGTTCTGTAATGTCCTGAAAGGGGGACACAGGAACATTTGCGTATTCATCCCGGAGACGCTTCAGAGCCTTGGGAGCTGCGCTCAGCCTCTCGTTGTGTTTGACCAGGCCGAACAGGTTGCGAAGGTTGAGAAGATGCGCCAGAGTATCTTGGAAGGGCTGAATCTCTCCCGCCCGGCTCACCCTCTGCCGTTCCCGCCACACGGCATGCCGTTCTACCCCACTAACATCTACCCCCCGCCTCCGATGCCACCCCCTCAGGGCAGAGGAAGAGGATTGCCTGGTGAGTCCTTGCGTCCGTTATCCGTCTTCCGGAAACGGAACAGCTATCCGTACCGTTGCTTTGTCTTTCTTCCTAAAGGTATCTTTCTTTTTTTTTTATCTGGAATCTTTCTTTTTAATTGTATTTTTTTTTTATATCGACTAGTTTCATGAATAAGATAAGACTTTATTGATCCCGAAGGGAAATGGAGGCGTTACGGCAGCCCAGCCCAAGAAAAGCAAGACGACCGCAGTCGTTTGTAAGGCCCGGGCGGCACCGTACGTCGACGCGGGGCTGGCATGCTGCTCTAGCACACCATGAGCTGGCCCTGACTGGAGGGGGTGGCGTGTCTCTTACCGGTGTAACTTCCAAGTTGCAGGAGTCGCCGTTTGCTGGCAAGCAAGCACCCAGCCCCGGCCAGCCAGCGGCGCTCTGCCCACTGTGAACTTCTGCATGGGGGGGGGATCCTTGCTACGGTCAGCTAGTGGCAAGACCCAGGCCCGTAGAACTCAACCCACACCTTGAGCAAGTACCTTTACTGGTTGTGCCACGCTGCGGCCCAGGGACCCGGCAGGCCTGAATTGTGATCGAGCTGTTTTTTTTTTCTTTGCGACTCTGCACCCTCAGGGCTCCAGGCGATCCCTTCCCAGGGTGGGAAGCTGGAGATTGCGGGGACCGTGGTCGGCCAGTGGGCGGGGAGCAGACGCGGCCGGGGCAGGGGTTCCTTCCCTCTCCAGGTGGTTTCAGTTGGTGGACCAGCCAGAGGGTAAGCACGCCGGAAAAACGCCCGCTCCCAAACCATCCCGCGTTTTAACTGCTGTGCTAACGGAGCCCAACCCTCTTCCCTTCCGAACGTAAAACGGAGCTCTCTCCGCCATGCCTTCCTTTTGCTTCTGTAGGGATATTTCCGTCAGTTGTCCCGTAGTTTGATGTGGCGCCTCTGCTTACTCGAGTTTTTTTTAGTTATTCCTCGCGTCGATGAGGTGTGTCCTCATGGATGCGAATCCCGCGGTCTTTTTTCCAAGAACATATGATTTGCGAGGTGATGGAACGATTGGTATGAAGTTAATATCGGAGGTTGTATCGATCTCGGTCTTCTTCCTTTTGTAAAGTTTAAAAGGAAAATGGGTGTTTAAAACCATGTTTCTTTACAACAATCTAAGGCCCACGTTATTTTAATTTGATCTCTATTCACCAGGCGCCCAAGGGGGGTCATTTCAACTCCAGTTATAAGGACCTTTGGGAGAGGAATCAAGTATCACAGCAGAGGTTCCAAGAGTCAGGGATCATACCAGGTAAGACGCCTGAGGTTGTGGGTAGGAATAGCATCGTTCAGTAAAACTGAGAATATCACTGAAAAGTGCTGTCACTTATCTGAAATTCACAATGAGAGAAAGACGTTGAAACCCATATTCCCGGTATGTTTTCACAACACAGTCGCCTCTGGGGTTGTACTAGTTCACACACGCCTAAAACGAGCCGAAACACTTGACGCTTGTTCTTTTGTGTTAATCTGGCAGTTTCAGCGACGTACGGGTTTCTGACAGTTCACTGTTCCGTACAAACACACAGCACACAGAAATCTTTGATCTGTAAACACGTTGGACAGGGTAGTCTGCAACAGCACGTTTGCTGGACTAATGGTATTACGTTGCCATGGTATTCTCCAGTAACCACGTGGAAACGGCTCTCTGACAGGATTTGTAAAGTTAGTTCAAAATGGCTCACTGATGTCAAAGTAAACAAAGCACCTATAATACATACAAAACAAATGCTCTTGTTTTTTTTAGAAATGCAGAAATGATACAAGAGTAATGTTTAGATTAGTAATGAGCTGCCAAATATGAGAGGAAACTTTTCAAGGAAACTGAAAGTAAAATTTCAAAACCTGATTGATATAAGGGAGCTTATTTGTGAAACAATCCTCTTTCTCCTGGAAGGGCTTATGAGCTTAAAAGCTCAGGGGGCTCTGAAATGGTAGAACTATTTCGACGATCGAATTCGAATGGGCAGTGTGTCATGCTGCTGCAATGCGACTGGTTCGAGTCCAGGTCACCCGGCGCTGCCGGGTTTGGCTGCAGGGGCTGCGCTCGGGCTCCTGTGTGCCGGGGGGGGGCAGCTCGAGAGTGCCCCCGTCTCCTGCGGCACATTCGCTCCTGCTGAGCCGCCGCGCCGCCGAAGCCGTAATGTGATCAGCCGAGGAAGACAGCAGGTGAAAAGGGGTTAGAAAGAGATCCCGGGGACATCCTTTAGAAAGCTGCCGTGGAGCACCGAAAGGTAAAGTTTGAATTCAGGCTTCTGCAGCGAGGAGAAAAGGAAATTGGAAAACACTCAATCCTGAAGATTACACAGGGCAGCCTGCTGACAGAATTATTCAAATACATTCAGTGCGTTCTTGGCATCAGTCGGGGATTGTGATTAGTTTTCTCTTCTTTTTTTTTTCCTTCCCCCTCCCGGGCAATCTTTCGGTTTCAGCGGCGTCCTTTCTCTATATTTCTTCTTTTTTTTTTCCTCCTTCCCCCACCAGAGCAAACCTGCATATGCTGCTTCTGCAAACGAGGTGGTTAAAGAGAAAAAGAAGCCGAAGCCACAGGAATCGAAATCTCCCCCGCCGTCTTCAGACGGGTCCCTGGCTGAGAACGGAGTTGAGGGTAAACCAGCTTTCCCGCTGAATAGGAACAAAGGGGATGGCAGGGCTCCCAACCAGCCTGAAAGTGCCTTGAGCAGTGACTCTAAAATGTGCAATACGAATCCTCATTTAAATGCACTAAATGCAGACAATGACTGCCACAGAGACGAAGCTCTGGGTGCCTCTGTCTTAAAAAAAGAAGAGTAAACCTATTTTTATAGAGAGGGTGAAGGATGATGGAAGGTTTAGGGTTAGGAATATCTGGGAAGAAGGAAAGCCTACAGTTGAAGTACATTTTTTCCTCTCCGTAAGAGAAAATGAGGACTTTTGAAATTCGGATCCCTCTTTGATGTCAGCGAGTCTATACAAGAATAATGTCTTGTTTTCTTTTTTTATTTTGGTTCAAAAGACTTTTAAACCAGTGACACGTACGATAGTACCAATAAAGGAGTAGGACACTTCACTCCCACATAAATGATCTTTACAAGTTTCAAACTGGTTACGCAGAATGTTATTTTCTGTTCTTGAAATACAAAAGCTGAGAAATGCTTTCATTTGGCAGTCTTTTAAGTACTTATAGGTTGAGATACTCTTTCAGTACCTGGCACCATATATTAGCCATTGTAATTGATTTTGTGTTGTGTCACAGTAAATGCTTTTTTTGAGAATTTAAATCACAGATATGAAAAAAAGAAACACAACCACATTTCTCATATGATTCATCGCCGTTTGTGGTTTTATTGTGTTGAAATGTGCAGAATTTTTTCAAAATCAAATAACTGTAGAATAAAAACAGCAGCTTAAGTTCTGATGATCTAAGTATACGTCATACTCTTAGCTATTTAAGTAACGTCAAGAAACAAGTTAAAATCACTGAAGATGCAAATGACCTTGCAAAGATAAAACAAGAAATTCCGGTACATTTTGTGTCATAAATTGCCATGCATCCGTGATCAATGAACAATGTGGTTTCTTGAATCAGATGTAGAACATTAGTACTACTGTTTCAGCTAAACTTTCTGCATGGTTCATAATTTTAAAAGGTGTGTAGTTATTATGCATGTTGTCCTTTTTCTTCCATCCTTACAATTACTGTGCCCATTTGCAAAATTTTAAAAGGCTAATAATCAGTAATAGTCCTATAAAAGGTGTTAACTGTTTAGTCAGTAACTGATTTGCTCTAACCTTAAATTTTTGTGATTATTGACCTCTGTTGCATTTAATCAAGAAAACTTACAAAAAAAATATCTAGCCACTTTAAATATTGTTAACCCTGGTGTATTCATTACTGTATACATTATTATTCTCTGTTGCTGTTTTATGCATTCATATTAGCAAAACATCTCTGAAAAAAAGAAAAACGTTAAAAAAAAGCTTGGATCTTAAATTACCCCCTTTTTGTAGCTGGAAATAAGTCAACAAGACGCTTGACCTTCCCATCAAGAGTTTAGCATAAGCAAGTAAACTTGTAATCATTTTGATGTTTACGTTAGTGTTTTCAAACTTACTGTACTTCTGAATCGGAATCATAACTTAAATCTTTTTTTCATCTAATTCTCCTGATGCTTTTCATCACACATTAGTGATCAGAAATACGGTGTAATCCCCAGTCCCCTGCCCGCAAGAGCTAAATAGGTTACCTTGATGTAAGTTGAAAGGAGTTTTACCTAACTCGTGAATTGTAAAAGAATGAACTACTGTTGGGTTTGACTGACTGTTGATGGATTGTGGTGTGGTGTATTTGAAGGCAATTGAATGCAACTTACAATGCTTAATAAAAGTCTTTATTCTTTTAGTATAAAACTGGATTCCCCTGTGTATTTTTGAAAGTGCATATTTTACATTTTTTCCTGCATGGTTTGTTACCACCCTCAAGAGTTTTTTTAGTAGGCAATGGTACAAACACTGTACTTAAAAGAAGCTGGTAAATCTCAAATGCTGTCCAATGTAGCTGAATTAGACATACCAAGACGTACTTTGTTTTTAACAGCTAAGCTCTTCATTAAAATTCATGTCTGTTGTATTTAGGATCTGTTGCTATACGAGGCTTCCTTCTGTCCTTTTACTGTGCATCTGGGAAAGAGGAATATTTCTATAAAAAATACATTTCTTACAAAGGATAATTTGCTGACAGATTGGTTTGCATTAATCATCTTTCCCCTATGTTCATATCTACTAGAATCTTGCATGCATTTTAATATTTGGAGTGGCATTTATATATTACAATTTAGTTTCAAACTAGGAGCAGTACAGTTGTTTAACCTTCAAGGGGGTGTCGCCTGTCAAAGGTAGTAGGAAAATAGTCTTGGCACTTTTTCCATGACCAAATTTTCCATTAAAAAAAATGCTCCAAATCCACATATTTATCCATACACACAAACGTGCACTCCTGCCACCATGGCAGAATAGCAGGGCAGGATGTTAAAGCTCAGATAAGGCTGCTGAAACCATTGATGGCCTAGAGAGGTGATACTCGATGACACAAAAAGTGATCACTTTTACAATGTCTTCCTCCTTCCTTCAGTTCTAATATACATGTGTGGAGTTCGATATGGAATCGGCCCGAAACGAACTGGGGTTTTTATAAAGCAAGAGCTGTGGAAAATAGATGTTTGTAGACAGTCCTTAAATGTCTTGGATGTATAAATATGAGCAAAAGTTTAAAAGGGGTAACCCAAGATCAATGTGAACTACAGCATTCTAACCACAGTTATCACACTTGTACCTGTAAGTTGTAAGTTACTGTATGCAACACCAAGTTAGCCATCTGCAGCTCTCAGATACTGTTTTAAAAGGATACAAATCCAAGAATTTGTATACTGTGCTTTTAATAGTTCAGTTCAGACAGTAGATCATTGTGTTGCAGTGTATTCTGTGTATCCATGCATATTCTGAAACCACTATGCAAGACTCGGGTTAATTTAATAGGTTATGTTTGCTTTTCAGAAGTTGATACATTTTCTTGATTTTGACATGGGGGCGAACACGCTTGCTTCACAGCCCCGAGGTCCTGGGCTGAGGTCTGGCTCTCTCTGTGGGGAGCACGAGCTGACTTTATTCAGGCCCTTGGGTTTGCCTCCACAGTCTAAAGAACTGGTATTCCTAGATCTCCCCACCCCCATATCAAGCTTGAGTGCACTGGACTGGCATTCTGTCCAGGGTGTACCTGTACCAGCCAGGTAAGACATTGGCTCACCGTAACCCTCTTTAAGGATAAAGGAGTGAAAATGGCTAGATCAGTTTTGACATTCACTGGTCCAATTGGAAAAAGAACCATTGACCTTTAACCCCTCTTTACTAAAATGAGTGCTTCTATTACCGAATGTAGCCCTAGGTAATCAGAAATATTATACTGCAGGCGTGTATACGGTTTGCCTCCATGTACCAGATAGTTGAAGTTAACAGTAAGTTCTTTACTCACGATCGTGAATTTTATTTGTAACTAGACATTATGAGCAAAAAAGCAACTATCTTCGCTGCATTCTGATTCTGGATGAATAAAAGCCTTTGTTTAAACTGTTGTGAGTTTTTTTTCCTTCCTTCTGTTATACTGCTCTCTACAGTTTCCAGTGAAGAAAGGCATGGGAAATCTGGAAAGACTCCTGGTGTCGCAATTAAGTTAACACAGCGTTAGAAATACAAAGATTCTTTTTAGAAACATTTTCAGGTAACAGGATGGGGAACACTATACACCTCAATGCATTTGAAATTTTAAAGGCATATTCTGACGGGCAATTCTAGAAAAATATACCCAATGTTCCTGTTTGTGGTGTGAAAGACGAAGATGAGCTTTCTCTGTCAAGCAGTCATTTCAATAGTTCAATAGAAGTAATACATGTGTGCATTTTAATCCGAGCTACAGGTGTACTTTTATTTTGCAATGAGAAGATAATTGTCATTTTTCTTTCAGGTGTAAGCTGTACTTAAGTTTGTTCATTGGTCATTCTTTTTTTTCTGAACGAGCAATGACGATGTCTATTCTGCAGAAGCTTTCGCAATTTGAAAGTTGTTAAACCGAGGGCACGTCATGTATTTTAAGTAACTCCTAGGTTCCCTGGTGGAAGAAGCTTGCATTCTTGAGCCAGGTTGACTGGTTATTGCTCTCTTTTTTTTCCATGTAGTTATTCTGCTTTGCACGTTATGTACTCGGGTTGTTTGTAAGAAAGGGGATTTATCTGTTTACCTTGTTTTTATTTAACAGCAACCGAGTAGGAACCTCCCAGACAAATCCTTCAACCGTTTTTTTTTTTGTCATTTTGTGTTTTGTGATGGTGGCTGAAACATGTTGCACCTTTTAAAACGAGACTAGGGGTTATTGGGGTTATTGCAGATGTTTGACTCCTTTATAATGTAATCGTTGTTGCATTCATTTCTGTCACCTCGGGGTATTTGAGAAGCAGGTGATTTCTGAACGAAAAGGTTGGGGGAGGCTACAACAGAATCTTTTGGGTTTTTTTTAAATAACTTTTTAATAGTAATGTCACTTTTAACGTTGACTGGCTGGGGTTGACTCCACAGTAACGAGACGGAGACGCTTCCAGAGGTCTGTTTTTAAAAGGAGTAGTTTGTTTTTTTTTTCAGTACTTTGATTAATAAATATTCAATCTTCCTTTTTGTTTAAACCTTATCTCTTAACATCTGTCCACACTATTTTCCGCACTAAGTGGAAAACAAACAGTAGAACAAGAAGAACTTTTCAGCGCACTTAGTATTAATTTATAAACAACTTTTCTCATTAAGCTCATATATTGTGTATTTAGAAAAATAATGTTACATAAATATCAACCTCCTGGAGAAAACAGCAATATTTCGTTTTCATTTAATATGAAGCGCCTTCAAGTTGGTTTTACTGTGATCATTACACGGCTAGAAATATTTTAAACTATTTTTGTGGTTCTGTAATTTCATAGTACACTGTAGGATTATACTCATATTCAGACAGAGGAAAGAAAATCACAGAATTCAAAGGTGATATTTGACTCAGTTTAATAATTCGAGGAACGTTAACACACACATGTACATATGTCTTAAAATATTTCGAGATAATTCAGGTATATTTAACCCCCACACTGTAATTTAGAGATTTAGGATTTGTAGCGTAGGGCGCATCTGACGTGTGGCCACGGAATTCACTGTAAACGTCTCCGAGATGAACGCATGTACATGATTCGCGCTGTAATACTTTTTTCCTACCGACAGAATTAAAAGGCAAACAAAGCAGAAATATGCTGGCGGAGTATTCCGTAAAATACGATGGAGAATACCTTGGGATCAATTTGAATCATCTATTATTTCTGAGAATCATTCATCTGATTTGAAGATTATACCGTTTTACAAGCTGACGTAACAATATTACAATGAAAGGATACATTTTCTTACGGTTTATGAAAGTCTCAATACTGTACTGTCACCAGGGGGCATGCATACAGTAATACACTTCAGGAAACATTATTAGTTTAGCATTTTTTTTTTTTAGGAGTGCAATTCAAATGCAACCGGAATCGTTCGGGGGAGTTTTTGGGGTGTCGCTTCATGTCCATGTCTTCTGAACAGCACTGAAACGGCAAGCTATTTTGAGGGATTTCGGAGTGCAATTTGGTTGCAGCATATCTGCAGCCCTGCTCTCTCCAGCGTTGTTGTGAATTGATCTAACATGGCGACGGTACCAGTCTATTGCATCTGTAGATTACCTTACGACGTAACCCGATTTATGATCGAATGCGATGCCTGTAAGGACTGGTTTCACGGCAGGTAAAAACCTAGAACGCCTTGATTTCCTTTTCCTTGTTTTGCACAGTCTTTCGAAATCTGTTTTTGTCTTTGCTGATGGTTGTGCATGAAATTTCTGCTGGCCAAAAGAGCGAGGCCGTTGAAGAAGAAGGCGGAGTTATATTTAGGTTGTGACATTTTTTTGTGAATAGCACAAAAACATTTTGACAACAGGGTAGTTTTTCAGCCACTATTTGCGTTCGTTATTGTATTTTTAGTTACTGTAATGTTTATGTATTTGAGATGTTCGTTTTGTCAGACCCCAAGCCCCTTCTTAACATTTAGTCGTTGTCGTATTTGTAGGCTGTTAGTGTAGTGGGTAACGATAAGCACAGCCTTAATTTTGAGGGAGCTCATTATTTTTAAAACATAAAGTGTTATACGCAGTTATTTCCTGCATGCATTTACGTTTCTGTAAATAACACGCAGGCAGTTGAGCTCGTTCATGTTTGTCTTTGCCTTTGTTAGTGAAAGTAAGTGATTTTTCAGCTGTTAAAAAATAAGAGTGCTAGACGTCGCAGAAAACGCAGTTTCCGCCACATATAGGTTGTGAAAATTGAGAATCTGTCCTTTCGTTTCTGTACTTTTTCAAATGTGAACTGTACGATAACAATACATTGAAACGTATTTGTATTCTCAAATCTCGTGTCTATATTCCGTTTCGGATAGGAGACTTTAGTAATATTAAATTCGTTTGGATACAAGTCATAAAAGTGAAGGAAACACTGTCTTATTCTGTTCCAGTTCACCGACTCCGTGATATTTACGCGCGTTTATGATTAACCCTTTGCTAATACGGCTCTACAGTAAGATTGTAGTTGGGGGGGAAAAAAAGATCGGTTTAGGTGTAAATTAATATTTATAGGAAGCGTTAATCGTGTTTTATTTTTTTCCGCTATTATTGATTGTTCTTGTTTTTCTTAAATGCTGCAAACTCGGGACGCGTTCGGCATGATTATAACTGCGTGTCTCTGCGTTGTCTGTACACATCGTCGTCGTTGTTGTTGTTGTATTTTTTTGGGGGGGAAGATGTTAAAGAGTTTTCAGCACGCCGTTTCTGATTGTCCTTATCTAAAGAAAGTGCTGCTCATGTTGGCATTTGTGGACGATATCGGTATGATTTGTCGAGGAACTGTCCCGCGCCCCTTCCATTGTGTCGTGGCTGTCGACACAGTGACGCGGGGAGCTGTGAACGAAATCATTTCACAAAAAACGGTGCTGTCTGACCCGCACAAGGCGTGGGGTTGTGATGTTTTGTGATGGCAGTTTCTGGATTGATGTCTTATACAAGGGGAAATTCGTTTTCCAGTATCGAATGCCAAGAACTGTTCAGCCCTTGTTATATATATTCTTATTTTCTCATAAAAGGATACATTTGTGTAAAAGCTACATTCTTAATAAAGTGAATGCTTACAGTGATTCAGATAACTTACCCTGAACCGTAGTCGACTGCACTGGTTTTTTAAAGCAGCTTAGAACAAACTTATTCGGTTACTTTCACGTTTTTTTGAGAACTTGATACAACTTTGGAAAATCGCCGTGAAGTGGTTTTGTTGCTTTGTTGCCTGGCGTGTGACATTTGAGCTAAACGGCGTCGTTGCGAAAAGCTCTTAAGCAGCGGCATCTACCTGCTACAAAAGCAAGTAAGAGCTTAGCCTGTTGTAAAAAGACAAAACTTGTATCCGTGATATTTTAAAAGAATTTCTTCATGCTGCTTCCACGGGAGTTTATGGGAGGGTTTTTGAAAGGAAATGGGCTGACAGCAAGCATCCTGGAAGTTGAATCGTCAAGCAAGTCAAAACGTCTGGGGTGGGGGCAAGCACAGCTTTTAAAACTTAAAAAATCCGATTTGTACTCAACTGCCTGACCTGTAGTTATGGTACTGTAACTATGTGAAAACTCTGATCTAATTAACTTCCACTCAGCTCAAATACAGATAAGTGCCAAGCACTGCCTGCTACTCCAGGATGCTTAGCTGTGTGTAATTCCTACTAGGAATCATCGAAAACATGGCAGGGAGGGAGTTTTAGGTCTGTGTGCAGGTGTAAGGTTCGAGCCTTTATTTGTTCAGTGGTGGAAGATAGGAGCACCTCTTGCTGCTGCAGTGATATTGCAGAAAGTCATAGACGGTCCAAAATAATTTTCTCTCTACCTTCTGTCGGGCCAGAAATGAAAAATCTGGTTGTGTGTTGTAGCTAGAGCCCTAACCCTTCCTCCACACTGCTTTCCTGATTCCCCTGTCTTCTGCTGATGCCAAGGGGCCTGGTGGGCACGTGACAAAGGGCATGTGTCTGCATTTTAACTCTGAATATTTTTTTTATAACAGCCAAAATCTATGTGACTGTTTAACTTACCAGGTGGCCGGAGCTGAGTATTTACTGATTGTAAATAGCAGAACCCTGATATAATCATTACAATCCATCTTTCAGGCTCCAGTATTGAGTGTGCATGGCAGATCACGCTGACTGGACTTCCCTCTAGCCACAATTGTACCCAGAACCCAGTGGGAGAACATTCTCCATTATAATAAAATAACCCTTGCAGTCGAAAGAGACAGGCCCTGCACAGCCCTTCTAGCTGCAGGTGAAGCGAAATGGAGTATTTGACAGTTTGCCCTTCCAAAGGGTTTTGTGCTGAAAATTCCTTGTAAGTCTTTTGGTCGTCCGTAGCAAGAGTAGAAGAGGAGTTCAGAACACAACTTTTCTGGACCGCAACGCCTTTAATAGTTTCTACAGTGCGCTTTCCAAATTTCAGACGTTCCTGTGCTGCTGTTGTCAATGCCCTTATTTAGAGTGTGGGGGAATCCCTCCTTCAGCAGTTCTGTGTCACAGCCTTCGCATATTCTCGCTGCTGCAATCACAGTGTGAGGTAGTGAGCTCGCTAAGGTGGGTGGGACTGTTATGGCTCGCAGTATTGTTCTTCTTGTACTAACATTGTCAGCCTGAGTTGGTGTTCCTTCCATTTGTCATTTGGATCGTTTTCCTCGCGCTCATTAGAGAGCACCTCCATGAGAGTGTCACTCTGTGCGGCCGGTTTTCCCTGTCCAATGAATTCATGCCAGCAGCCCCGTCACGTCCGAGCTCAATGAGGTAAAGGTCAGATGAGATAGAAGGAAACTATCTGTTTTTTTTCCCCCTTACAATTTTTCTGTTTTGAACGCAGGGCTTTAAAATATTCTTCTGGCATAAAATCCCATTCATATGTATCCAGTGGAAAAAAAAAAGTGACGGGAAGTGCAGTTAAATTACAAAGAAAAGCAGCAAAATAGCAGATAGATTAGTCACATCTTGAAATATGTGTCACTGCAGTGGCAGAATTGACAGAATAGCATAAAACAGGATAATTACAGGAATTGTGGTATTTGAATGTCATAACAAGGACAAACGGTGATACATTTCATTATTTATTCAACTCATGAGATACTGTTCAGGATAACCCGATCTCTGGCATGTTCTTTGAAGTCTGAAATGATCCAAAAGGGGAAATCCCTTCTTCGAAAACCGCACAGGTCAGGCATGCCAAATTCCTGGATTTCATACTTCCTCAGGTCCTGTGTATGGCTTTGCTACAACCAGCCATTTAATGAAACAACACAGCTGTTTATCAATTAACTAATTAATGAGCTGACTGAGTCAAACTCATCTAGACAGATGTTATATAGTAGTTAGTGTAAATGGTAGGTAGCTGCACTGCCTCTTGCATCCAAAGTACCCTTCTTGAATTGAAAAACAGAACTTCCTGTACATCATCTCCTCTATCTGCAAGCTGTAAATCCCTAATGCTTTATCTGTTCTTAATTGAGAATATCTGTGCTGTTAAACCTGTATCACGTATTTTAACAACCAATAATTCTTGACGGCGATTTAATAAAACCAGAATAAAATCACGTCAGCTGGGGTTCTGACTTGTGCCTAATTAGGTGCTAGCCTGCAATGGGAAATTCATTTTCTTTGAAACCGAGGTGTCTAATTTGGCCCTATAGAATGATGTTTTCTATTTTAGATGTGATTCATGACATTTGCTTAGGGTGTACCTCTGAAAACCAAAGTTCTTGTCTTTAATACTTTCTGTTTTACTGTGATTTAACCTGATGCCCTTTTAAGCGTTTGCAGAATGAATAATAGTCGTAGAATGACGAGGCCTGAGGAGGAAGTTATAGATTTCCGAAAACAAGATTTGTTTTTTTCAGCCGTCTTTTGGATGTCAGCTGCACTCTGAGTCAGTTTTTAAACGACCTTTACTTTTCAATGTTGTTTCCACCATTCTTCTTAAAGTTCAGTCCTGTGGTTGAAGTTGATGCAAGCAATTTTTCCTGATGCAGCACCAGAAGATGAGAAATTAAATATCTCACAATGTTTGAAAACATTCAAATTAATCTTTTACTTTAGTACATTACAGTATCGTTTTTCTACCATTTTTTACATTCCCCTGCTTTGTCAACGTGACTCTACTTTGTGCTGTCTACTTTAAACTTCCAAATCTACTGTATGTCAGTTATACTGTCTGGTCAGATTGTGTTGCTTGGTTTTTGCCAGGAGAGTTCAAAGTGAATCTTGTTTAGGAGGAATGCTGTTAGTAACAGGACACGATATGCCATCAATAAAATCTATCAGTTATTAAAGGTTTTCTTCCTTTCCTCAGTGGTGTAGTGGTATCATGCAAGATTCCCATTCTTGTGACCCGGGTTCGATTCCCGGCTGGCGCAGAAGGGCGTTCCTGCTCCCTCTTCTTCTAGGGGCGGAGCGGTGGCTCTGTGGCTAAGGATCTGCGTCTGTGACTGGAAGGTTGCCGGTTCAAATTCCGCGGCCGGCAGAGGAATCCTACTCCGTTGGGCCCCTGAGCAAAGCCCTTAACCCCAACTGCTCCTGGGGCGCCGTACAATGGCTGACCCTGCGCTCTGACCCCCAGCTTCTCTCCCTGTCTGTGTGTCTGTGTCTCCTTGGAGAAAAGCTGGGGTATGCGAAAAGACGAATTCCTAATGC